TCGGGTACAGGTGACGAGGGCTGGGCCATTTCACGCGGATGGTAGTCTTCGGTTCAGGGGAAGGGTTGTGGTTCCCCAATCTGCAGCTCTGAGAGAGGAGATCCTTAGGGAGTTTCATTGCTCCCGTTTTGCTGTGCATCCAGGTAGTACAAAGATGTACCATGATCTTCGCCGCCAATACTATTGGAATGGGATGAAGAAACACGTTGGAGATTTTGTTAGTCGATGTCTCACATGTCAGCAGGTCAAGGCTGAACATCAGAGACCAGCAGGGTTGCTCCAACCTTTGGAGGTGGCTGAGTGGAAGTGGGAGCACGTCACGATGGATTTTGTGACTCACTTGCCACGGACATCGCGAGGGCATGACGCAGTATGGGTGATAGTGGATCGGCTTACAAAGTCGGCACACTTTTTGGCAGTACGAATGACCTTCACACTGGAGGATTTTTGTAGACTGTACATACGGGAGATAGTTCGATTACATGGGGTGCCCGTATCTATAGTATCCGATCGGGACCCTAGGTTTACGGCCCATTTTTGGGAGAGTTTTCAGCAGGCCATGGGAACACAGTTGATGATGAGTACCGCTTTTCATCCCCAGACGGACGGTCAGTCAGAGAGGACTATCCAGACCTTAGAAGACATGCTACGGGCATGCATCCTTGATTTCAAGGGTGGCTGGGAGGAGCATTTACCATTAGTAGAGTTCGCCTACAACAACAGTTATCAGGCGAGTATACAGATGGCACCTTATGAGGCACTTTATGGGAGGCCGTGTCGTTCTCCGATTTGCTGGACCGAGGTTGGAGAGAGACCCTCCACGGGTCCGAATTTGATTAGAGACACTTCAGAGAAGGTGGACTTGATACGGAAACGTCTTATCACGGCTCAGAGCCGGCAGAAGAGTTACGCTGACAGACGGCGACGACCTCTGGAGTTCGAGGTTGGAGATCATGTCTTCTTAAAGGTGATGCCTAAGAGGGGAGTGGTCAGGTTCGGAAAGCGGGGAAAGCTGTTGCCGAGGTATATCGGGCCCTTCGAAATACTTGAGAGGGTTGGTACAGTTGCCTATCAGTTGGCATTACCGCCTAGTCTATCTGGTGTTCACGCGGTGTTCCATGTTTCTATGCTCCGAAAGTACACTCCAGATCCTACACACGTGGTGGATTGGGGTGAGCTAGTGGTTGATGCGGATGGAACCTTTGAGGAGGGACCAGTGCGTATCATGGACAGCCGAGAACAGGTTTTGCGGGGCAAGACTGTGAGGCTGGTAAAGGTGTTGTGGCAGCACCGTGGGATGGAGGAGGAGACATGGGAACGTGAGGACACTATCCGAGCTACCTATCCATTTTTGTTCGAGAATGGAGGTACATCTCTTACAGTCATAGAGTATTTAATGATTTTTTTTTGCATATGCATGTCGTTATATATGCATGTGGGTATAATTTCGGGGACGAAATTCCCTTAAAGGGGAGAGAATGTAAAACCCGATAAAAAAATATATATATATATTATTAATCCTAATAAAAATAAAAGGGTAAAATAATAATTAATTGTTAAATTATGGGTCAAAAAACGTAAATAATAAAAAAAAATAATATATCTATATATATATATATAAGTGGAAGACTTTGTCTTCCACTTGTTGTGTCTTCTACTGCCGGCGAGAAAGAGAGAGTGAGGAAAAAAAAAAAAGAGAGTTTTTATTTTTTTTTCTCTTTTCTTCCTTCTCAGATCTAGGAAAATTTAACCGTTTAATCGTTTCGGGCCAAGAACTAAAGTTGCTCTACTCAGCGAGAGCTACGCAACCACACCAAAGATCGTATTTTTCTTCGAAGGTATCTCAAAGCCGATAATCCAGACCTAAAACTTAGGAAGCTAAATTTGGGCTTCCTTGGCGTTCTTGTAAGTGGTCTCACGCTACGAGAGGTAGGGTTTCCCCTATTTAGATTTAATTTCAACTTAAAATATGACATATGGAATGAGTAGATTATGAGTGTATATCACATGTTAGGTCTTGACTAGTGGGTCAAATATAGAATTTATAATTAATCTTGTGATTAATAAAATTCTATTGTGATTAACTTGGTATAAGTTAATGTTAGTAGTTTAAAGCATGTTAATTGTATGTTAGCATTACTTTATATTTTAATGGAAGATCAAGTTTAATAAAATTATTAACTTGTTATATGATTGTGAAATAATATATATATGTTAAATGATTATTTAACATATGATTATTTTGGTGGACTTTGTGCTTATGTTAAACATGTTATCATGTTGCAAGTCATAGCATGCTAGTTGTGCAAATTGATGTGCTCTTTAGGTGTTTGATTAAATGCCTAGGTGAATACAAGTATGTTAGTTGAGTTGATTATCTTACATAACATGCTTGAGATCGTGTTAAAATGTCATTACATTGTATTTCATTATGCATGGGTTGCACTACATTCATGGGCATTGACATGGGTGAGAGTGTATGCATGGTATGAAATCAATCACCACGTAGGTGGTTGAACGTGGACTCGGAAAAGTCGCACCAAGGTTCGGTTGAGTCGCACGAGAAATTAAATGGATAAATGTGTTGGGGACAGCATGAAGGGCTAGATTCTCCCTCGGGTGCAAGACCCGCTTACTTGGTTTATACACTTTCCGGCGGTGAAATTCTAAAAAAGTGTAACGGCGGAAACGGAGCCGCAGGTGGGATGTCCTGAAGATCCGTTGATGGTTGATGTCCCATTGGTGTAATACCATAAATCATCTCCCCACAAAGACACAAGAAAATGAATTAATTAGCATTGAGTGTACATAACACCAATGATGGGGGCTTGGAATGCTCGGATACATACGCATGACATTGCATGTGTTATGGGAGCTCAGGATGGGGCTCGGGGTTGGTATTGCTTGCGTGAGTCTCATCTCATGGCATGACATGACCTATAACATTCAATCATAATAGACATATTTAAATGAATGTATCAGATGATTGTTGCATGTGATATTCCATATTCATTTAGGTTGAGAGGTATTCTCTATAGGCGTTACCCTATTGAGCGTTAGCTCACCCTTTATGGGAACATTTTTCAGGTATCGCACAGGCTTCCACCGAAGGCGAGGCCATGGGCCCGCTTTGACGACAGAGCCGGTCTGTGGCTTTTCTTTTGACATTGTAGTCCCTTGTTTATACTTACTTTTGGCCTTGTATAATTTTTGTAACAAACATTGTTTATATTTACAAAGGCATGTATATGGGACTCTTTTGGGACATTTATTCTTTTACGAATAAATGTATGTACTGATAATGATTATGGTAGTATTCGAGACTATATAATTGTGAATGGATAGATAGACCCGGTGTGGTCAATGTTGTACAGGTTGCGTTTTGGGTAGAGCTCCTTGTACAAAGGAGACTCTGTCCAAATTTTGTTAAGTTATGGATCCCAAGAAATGGGGCATAACGGTGTGGTATCAAATTACACGATATCCACCAGTATTACACAGGTCGATGGATAACCAATCGGATAATTACGGACACCCGGACTTTGGGGTGTCACAATCTATCCTTCCAACATTCTATCATTCTATTTTTTTATCGTACCAAACGGAGTATAAGACATCATCCTCTCATTTATCTCATCATCTGAACTCCAAGCACCTTTGTTATTACTTTCATAGCTATTTAGAGTAAGCAATTCTAAGATATTCTTCTCAAGAGACAATAGTGAGGCCATGTGAGGGTTGTGGGGGGTAGACATCAATGTAAGCTCATAGTCGCAACCAATGAAAATGATAGAGTCACAAGTACTACAAAGTGCTGGATTCCATGGCAATTTTCTTTTTTCTTTTTGTTTTGTGTGAGGACAATACCTATTTCAGATTCTTTTGAGTGTTTGAACTTGTATCAAATGCAAATATTTGAATCCAGGAGTACTCTTCTTTTCCTTATTCTTATTGCATTATTGATTTGGACTAAGCACTCCCTTTAAGTTATTAAACTTTTCAATATTCTCTCTTTTTCCCATTCATTCTCTTCTTCACTGCTGCAAATGAGTTGATTATTTTGGATGTCCTAAAATTTTTGACTTTACTAGTTAGGCTGATTATATTTTGAAATATAGGACTAAGCATGAACTTTGAAAACCTGAAAAGGGAATACTACTATAACTGGATTGAGATTAGCTAGCATTGCCTTTGTGTAATGAGATGGTAGGTGTTTGAAATAGTTAGTAATGTAAGATAATTAATAATGTAAAGGTATCCATATTATAAAAGTTGAAAGGGAGTGTAAGAGTTAAAAAAGAGAAACACATCAAATTTTATAAATTTGGATAGTGGAAAAATTTGGAGGAAAACTTCAAATATTTCAAATCAATGGGTCTTGTTTAGATTTTAAATAAAATAATATTTAAAGCACTTGAGCTTGAATTGTATAAATGATTAATTATTTTTGTATTAATTAATGTCTCTTGGCCCAAAAGTTGTGTCTCTTCTTTACATCTCTTTGGCCCAAGAGTTGCATCTCTCCTTACATCTTTAAGGTATTATAAATACCTGTACATATCCTTCAATACATATATATACAAAAAATGTTTCTCTATTATGTTTTTGGGAGAATTCTACAGTTTGCTATCTAAAATTCTGTTTGACAATTTTGTTTAGCTTTGTTAATCTTAGAAGAATTTGTCATAAACTCAGCATCAACATAGTGGAAGAATAATTTCCTTAAAAAGACCGAATAAATGATCAAAGTTTTCTAATCTGTTGAAGTTATTTTGCTAACAGTAGGTACTTAATCCCTATAAAAAGCCTGGGATTCCATTTTGACTAAAAAGATGTAGCTTGGGCTCCTATTTTTCTGATGCAAAATTCGAAAAAGAATATCACTAGAGCAGTATATTCAACAGAAGAAGCACGCGGCAGTCACATGGGCAGAATCCCAGGATATTAATGTGAGAACAATCAAGAAAGGAAAGGGAAAAGGAAAGGATAAGCGCAACAGGATGGTGCTGTTTCTAGGCAAAGTGGTAAGGTAAACTGGAGTAGGAAATGTTCAGTGCCCGAATTTTAGGCACAACAACTTGCACTTTACCACCAGAAAGATTAAAAAGAACTACAAAATAGCAAGCAGGAACAAGTAAGAGGTAGCCTGGTCTAAATTAAACCATATCCAATTTGCTGTTAATTCTAGGATCATTCTTTTATTAGTATCTAAACAAGAGGATATTTAAATAGGTACATGCATTATAATTTCAATTCTGTCATTCTTTTTTTTTTTTATATATATGATTAATTCTGTCATTCTCGTAGTCATTTTTCTGATTTTAACTATTCAACTGTTCAAAACATTTTAGATCCTAAGAGCTAATAAAAAAAAAATAGATCATGAGAGCTAATAGAAGATAATTCATACAAATTTTATACTGTAATTAATATTGTGGAAATCTATTGATCGTTAAATGTTGAAAAATTTGCCATTGAAGAACCATCAATGTAAGTAACAAACAAATTCTTACGGTGTGTTTGGTACGCGGAAATACGCATTCCTTGATAACGTTATTCTTACGTCTGACATCAGACAGGAATGAGAATTCAATCCTATTCCTGAGGAATAGTTAGTTAATCTTACAAATAATTGGATTTGTCATTCCTAAATTTATCGTGGTATTTCTAATTCCATTCCCACCCCAAATCCATTCGCGGAAAAAGGCATTTTATCTTCCCGATTCTTCTTATCGCTTCATAACACACACACACTCTCTCTCTCTCTCTCTCTCTTGCTCACTAGATTCTCCTCTTTTATCGTCAACACCAATGGCGTTTCAGCCCTTCTCTCTTCGCCTCTCTACCAGCTTCTTCCTCTCTGTCATCTGTATATGAAGCACGGGCTGCAATTGGAGATCAGGACCCTACCCTCCTTCGCCCCGAACACGCTTCTATGAACCGATTCTGGTGCGTCTTCTGCGATTCTGACATCGACGAGCTCGGTAGCTCATTCGCTTGGTAAGTACCTCAGTTATTGTTTCTACGGATTTCCATTGTGATATTTTTGGTTGCTGAGGAAACGTAGGGGAAGAGAACAATTTAAAACTTTGAAAATATGTATTTATCAATTATGTTGGAAAAGAAAAGAATATTATCCATTGAGCTGTGAATTAGATGAAATTCTGTTTGGAACTAGAATCCTTGATACAAAATCTTTGATAACTACAAGTTTCTCGATTTGTGGGTACCTGGCATGATCATTATGGTATTCGTTTCCAATTTTATTGTATTGGTTTTTTGGATTTGTGATTTGAACTTTGTTGTCAGTGGTAATTCAATTAATCATATGGCGAGTGCGGATCACTTGAAGAATTGCAAATCATTGAAGGGGGTATAATATTTACTACTTTTTGTTTGTCTGTGGTTACAGTGGGAGAAGAAGTGCAAATCATTGAAGAATGAAACTCCTAGCGAAGGATCTCATAGTGCTTTGATCGGACCTTTAAATGATATCCACAATGAATTGAACTCTGAATACACAGATAGTTTTGACAAAAATAATATCCACTCTCTTAATTCAAGTTGTTCAAATAGTGTTGTGCCTTTACAAAATTATACAACTGAGAGATATCAGGTATCCCATTCAGAATTATATAGAGTCTCTGAAGCTGGCCCTCTTCTCCATGATGCTAACTCATATTTGTATGCGGGCACACAGTCTGATACAAATCCATGGGGTTCAAAGGATTTAACAGGTACATAATTGATATAACTAGTAAGTTATTTTCTCTTATATTATGAGTGAGAGTAGTCATAGTAATGAGTTTTTTATTTGTGATCTGACTTAGGTTACTTGCATAGCCAACATTCTGTCCTTTCTAATGGTGGGATATGCTCTGTTGATGGTTATATTTGTAACACAGGGGTAAGCTTACTTACCACTGATTTTAGTTACATGTTGTATTCTTAGTTTTTTGTTTTTTTCTTTTTAGGCTAATGTGTTTTCAATAAGGTCTTATTTTGGGTAGTTATTGCCTTGCTGATAAAATTTTTTATCACAAGCTCTTTATTGTATAATAGTCTTGCCTAGGTCCTAAAATGGGGTTGGAGATCTTGTTTGTAGGAGAAGATAAGAACTCTAAAAATGGATGAAATAAGATTTTTTTGAGGTAGACCAATAAAATAATAGTGTATTCATTCAGAGAAAAGTAATTTTTATGTGGTCTCTTTCCTATCAAGGCCAATTCCCCTCACTATCTTTGCAATGTTGAGCTTATCGAGGTTCTGAATTGACACATCTTCAGTTCCAACTTTCAGCTGGCAACAGCAGTTGCTCATAGCAATGTTGCATTGATGGGGTTTTATGTCTAATCTTCAAGGGTGAGCTTTATGATCTGATAGATTTGGGAAGAAATTTTGAACTTTAATTCATGTAACTTTAAACTTAGGAATGAAGAGTGTAATTGTGAGTTAAGAAGTCACCTCCTTTACCTTTACTTTTTGTTCTCACGGCTTTGTTGTACCTCTTTACTGTTGGCTCTATGAGTTGTTTGAACTTCATTTTCATTTAAACTCTAGTCTGTGTCGTGATTATCGACTTATCTTTTACACAGCAAATTTGAAGCCTGGATAAAGAAGTGTTGGCCTAAAAAGCCCTCTTTCATAGTTGTTCATTTGAAATGAATGACCAATTTTGAATAGTTTTTCAGATAAGACGTGTATAGAAAAGACAACTGTGTGGCTGACAGCTTGGCCAATATAGCTGTGCATAATGGTTTTTCTACTCATTTTACTGTGTCTGCTGATATGCCTTGTTTAGTGAAATGGATGCTGTTGCAAGATCTGATGGGATTACCTGTGGTGAGAAAGAAGAAGGTGATTGTTTTTGATGATAATGGATGATGGAGGTAGTTTTGTTGTTGACTGGGTCTAGATAGACTGCAGTGCTGGGAGTGTTTTATGACGCTGCTGTGTGCTGATGTGTGCCTATGTTGCTGAATTGCTTTGCTGTGCTGTGACTGGTTTTTGAAGGATTAAAGTCTTTTAGCTGTATTGAATGTGTGTAGAATTCTTTTAATTCTTTGATTCTTGTAATTTCTTGATTCAATCAATAAAAATTTTCTTTTCTTAAAAGAAAAAAGAATAGTTTTTTATTTTGATTTCTTTTTGTGAACCTATTTTTAAAGGAATTTGTTTTCTAATTTTTTAAAAATTTATAGGGGTTTAATTTTTTTCAATGGATTCTCATTTTTTCTAATTATAAATTTTTTTACACAAATTTTAAAGGCAATCGCAATCATAAAAAAAAATTGTTATTAATTATTTTTAGTCACTGTGAATATTTTGGTTAAAGTTGATTCCATTTCAATAAAAAAATTATTTTATCTAAACATAAAAATGGAATGAATATTTTATTCCAGCACTTAATCTAAATAGCTGTTAAACATTGGAATAGTAATGCGCATTTCATTCCATTTTCAAGTTCATTTTATTCTTAAACTCATTTTATTCCTATTAAAAAATATTATCGCGTATCAAACGTAGCGTTATAATCAGCACCCTTTGGCATGTTTGAACGTAGATCACATAGAACGGGAGCGAGGGTAGGAGAGAGAGTGAGAGCATAAAATCAATCAAATTCAAAATTATTTGAAAACGAAAATGCCTTGATAGTGCTGTATTATATGCATCCAAATATACATTTACTCATAAAAATTAATAATGCACAACTATGTGATAAATTATTTAATTTATAAATATATATTGAATACAAAGTCCTAAAATAGCAATTATAAATTATAAATATCATTCTAGCTTGATATGTACCTTTGTGTATGAGTCAGTATTTTTCAAATAAAAATTAAGAAAATAATGAAAAAATAAGTAAGTAAGAGTGCGAATTTGCGAACTGAAAAATTAAATTTGATGAGGGCACAAGGTTGCGAGTTGAAAAATTGAATTCATGAATTTTGTAAAATGAGAGCAAAAATTTACGAAAAATTCGCTCTCAAAGAGTGAATTCGCATGGAACACTAAATCGTCGACTGTATTGAAAGATTACGTGACTAAGATTTGAGCACATAATCGCGTGTTTGCTGTGCGGCATTTCAGTGACCATGGAGAACTAGCTCAACTTCTTCTGGCTTTATTTTGTGGTTAATAGTATCCTTCGGGCATTATTGCTTCGAGTATAAAATTTTATATTCATTCCACTTTAATTCAATAGATATTATATCCGGTGTTAAACTATAATCTCATTCTTCTCTTTATTTGTTTATTAAAAATATTATCTGTGTAATATCTACTTAAAAAAATTAATAATTACGGCTAATCAATGTAAAAAACAATTTTAACCTTTAAAAAATCAAAAATTGCGACTAGACTTTTATATGAAATTCTATCGAAGGACATTTCGGTCTTTTTAATTTATAATACTATACCAAGAATATAAGACCACCCCTAGGTGGTATTCATTAAAACATGGCTACTATTCATAACGGGTCGGTATTATGACCCGAAAAATAGTACTGACTATAAAATGCGAAACAACGTATAAGATAGATCCCACGTACTATTTTTCTAATATCAACTTCTTATACCACTCTAATTCTCAAAACAATCGACCGTTCTAGTATCAAATGCCAAAAAACTCAGTTTATTGCAATATATAGTACTGGATGATAGGCGATGTACAAGATGGGCAAACCTCGATTTATGGATTTATCCCATCGACATACCATCTCACAAAGATCACACTAAAGGCATTGTGCTACTGCGGTCAAGAACAGAACTTCGATTCTGACTGGTATCTTTGTAGTATCTGATGTCAGTTTAAAATCGTCCTTCTGCTTGCTGTTACGGTCACTATATCCTACTGAGACCCCATGGCCAAGTTCCCCAAACTTGCCTAACTTAATGGGAGAATGCAGAGAGCCTTATTTCGACCATATAGGGTCAGAAACACGAACTTTGCTCCCCATCTTGCTCTATCGGTTGTCCTGACACCGAATACTTGTGTTCTGGATTGGAGATGCCACATAATAGGTGTTCATCCTCAAGATGGGTGCCGTAAAAGTGCCTGCCTGTTGCTTCAGATACCTGGGTGCCATAACCCAATAGGAACGACTGTTCCTTCAGACTCTGATCTCTACTGTTTACTACTATTTGTATAGATGCTCCAAGTCTTATTCTTATTGCCAGAGTGATCCAAGTTTCAAGTCAATATTGCAGTTTACGGAGCTATGATTCCAAATGCAAGGGATATTAACTCGTTGGACAGAAGGAAACCATCTGGATCACTGAGCCGTATAAACGCCAGATCCTCAATTTTGTCCTCATCCGACAGCAAGAAGGTCGATTCATCTGCTGAAATGTTTCTCCCCTGACCATCCAAGCATACCACATGCCCACTTTCCACATAAGGTTTATAAACCTTACAAAGAGAGAGAACAAGTGAACCGCCGAAACTTTCTCGGAAGGAGTGTAAGTCTAATCCTCTTCCAGTTCTTAGAGAAAGCATCACGACGTCCATTGCCATGTCCTTTGCATCAATTTGATTTTCCTCACTACAATCTACCACGCCATTTTCCAGACTCTGCACGTAATTTGTGTACTCTTTCAGCTTCCTTGGCCTCGAAAACCTTACCCCACTTACATAACTGGCAGAACCAAGGCCAAAACCATAAAAACCTTTGTTCTTCCAGTAGGTCAGATTGTGCTGGCACTCAAAACCACTTTTGCAGTAACTACTAATTTCATAATGGTTGTAACCAGCATCAGTAAGCATTCTCGAGGCCATTCTATAGAATTCCGCAGATTGTATCTCAGAAGGCAGAGGGAACTCCCCTGGTGTGTACCTGTAAACACTGCATTGTCAAATTCACCGCAGATAAAACACTATTTTTCAATACTACAAATGACTTACAGTATGCCAAATTTGGTGCCTTGTTCAACTTGCAGATCATACACTGATACGTGGGTAGGCTGTGCTTCGATAGTGAGCCTCAGACTGCTTTCCCACATTTCTGGTGTTTGGTGAGGGAGAGAAGATATGAGGTCCATACTCCAATTCTCAACCCCACAAGACCCAACAATCTCAATTGCCTCGTGAACCTCCTTGACACCATGTGCTCTACCACAAGCCTTCAATAACTCCGGTTGAAATGCCTGAACTCCCAAAGACACTCTATTCACCCCCAACTCCATTAACTCCTCCATTTTTACCCCATCAAATGTCCCAGGGTCCATTTCCATAGATATCTCAGCATTTGCACACAACCTAAATTTCTCACGTAAAGTGTCAAGAACCACGGAAACAAGTCTTGGTGGCACAAGTGAAGGTGTGCCACCTCCAAAAAAGACTGTTTCAAGAGGTGGGTTAGCATTTAATTCTTGTTTGGTTGCTTTGATTTCTCTAAGGAGGAGCTGGATGTAGCTAAGAATTCGTGGGTCGTCTTCGATTTTGGCTGAAGAGGAGCCAAGAGCGACTATTGGGAAGTCGCAGTAGTGACAGCGTTTTCGACAGAATGGGAGGTGGATGTAAGCTGAGGTTGGTGGCAGCTTGTATGGTGGGAGTGTAGTTGGATGGTTAGGTGAGGCATTTTGTCGAACAGTTTGTGGGGTTTGTGTGAATGCATTGGTTATTGTGTATGAAAGTTTTGGAGGTGGTTTGATTTTAGCGGGAACGGTTGTTAAAATGGGCATGAATGAGGATTTGAGCATCATGGTCTGCTGGTGATTTGTCGCTTCACAGAGGGAGAGAGAGCTATAGCGCACCAACGAAGACTCCTCCTTAATAAAACCTCCCAATGGGTCGGGTCGAACTGAACCTAAGTGGGCCTTTTAAAGTAAGGTACTAGAAAATAGAAACCATTTCATAGGCAATACCTGCCAAATATATTTGAGTAAATTATATATATAGCCTTCAAACTTTGATTTTTATGTCAATTAAGCTTCTTAACTTTTTTTTTTTTTATATCAATTAAACTTTTGAACTCTCTAATTATGTCAATTGAACCCTTCTATCTGCCTACGTTAGATTTTCTAACAAAAAATGTCAAAATGTGTCACTCATGTGATACAAATGGTTAGAGTAAATTATACATATAATCCTCAATTATGACTTTTGTATTAATTAAGTTCCTAAACCTTTTTTTTTTGGGTCAATTAAGTTCATGAACTATTTAATTGTGTCAATTGAGTCTTTTTGTGTGCTATATAGTCATGTCATGTCAGTGACACACTCTAACAAAGGTAAATAAAAGGACTCTATTAAAACAAAAAATAGTTTAGGGACTTAATTGACACAAAAGTCATAGTTTGAGGGCAATATATATAATTTATTCAATATATTTCATTGAGAGTTTTTTTTTCCTAGGATATTCAGGTTTACACTAATTACTCCCTCAAACTCAACAGCTGGCCACTATAACTTGAGCTAGTCTAGAATATGTTCCCAAAAGAACAAGAGTGGTTAACCCTCGAAGAATGTGAAAAATGATTGAAGATGAAATTTGAGTTATTTAAAGATAAACTAACCACTAAACCATTGTTAAGGATTTATTTCATTGAGTTTTAGAAAGTAACTCAGTTTGCTCACAAGTTCGTTCAAAAAAAAAAAATTATTTCACATTTATTAGTAGACCCTACACACCAGTTGCTTGCCCATAAATGTTTTTGAGTTTGAATTTTTGCTATAAATTTCCCAAAAAATTTTGGAGCTCCAATTCAGTATAAAGATTTCTTCTTAACATACTTTTTATAATTTTATGTAATGTCAAATATTTGTGAAATATTTACAAGCGTATAACAAATCTTACTTAAATTCATAATATGTGGTCTACCAGTAAAAAAAAAATAATGTTCTCTAATTACAAGAAAATAAAGATTACTAATATGAAAAGACACTTAAAATTCTTAAAGTGATTCATCTCGGCGTTTGGAAGCTTCGTTCTCCAAATTATGTTTAAAAGTTGATTGAGCGTATTATCTCCAAACACGATGGCAAATTTTTACTCAAGGAGAATTGGGTTCAATATTTTGAAGAAGTAAAAAAAAAAAATCAATAAAAATGCTTTATAAAAAAATTTAAATGTCAAGTTTTTCTTTTTCAGATTTGCCAAGTGATGGATGAACAAGTGTTCATTACGTCGTAATGCCAAATATCACATTCAAATGTTAAGGCAAGCCTTGTATTCAACTCCCGAGTTTTGGAGACAAACAACCAAAATTTTCATAGAAGACGGAAAAAGGGAAAGGAAGAGGCAAACTAAGGTATACAAAAGCAGGATTAAATTACATTAACGCCAACCCTAACTCCAAAACATAGGTAATAAAATTGTTTGGCAATGTACATGTGACATTTTACACAAGACATTTCACCATGTAAGGACCTTCAAGCTCATATCCCAATTTTCTATAGTAATGGCGGGTTCCTACACCAGATATTACAGCTATCTTTGTTGATCGATGCTCCCGACGAGCAATCCGCTCTGCTTCCTCCATAAGCAGCGTACCATAACCCTGGTGTTGCAGCTTATCAGCATCACGCCCATGCACGGGAACTGCTGTCCCATACACATGTAGTTCACGAACAATAGAACACTTCCCCATAAGTTCTGGGCAAGTGGCATTTCGGCCAATTTTTCTCAATCGCAGTAACCCAACGAGGATATCCTGCATCCAAACAGGGAAAAAAGCACATTATGTATTGGCAAGCTCAAGTTGCAGCAGTAAACAAACAAGACAAAACAAGTCATGACATCCTCGTTTGGGTGTAGATTGTAATGAAAATGATGAGTGATGAGAAGAAGAGAGAGGTTCAGTTAACTGATATTGTTCAAAGTTCATTTACAGACTATTGCACGGACCAGATTAAACTACGATGCATGAGGTTTGCATTGTCCAGCAATGTAATAAATTTGCATGTTCCAAGAAATGCAAGCCCTTTTCAGGAGTTTTTCCATATCAAACATAAACTAGATGATGCGAGGAAATACTGAAAAAAGTGTTAGTTGCCACTGAGAATCGTTGATATAGGTAACAAGAAGCCATTATAATTAGACCCTTAGCCAAGTTTGAACACATTTTCACATGTTTGCTGCGCACCATTCCAGACATCACCATCCATGTCAAAATCAATGAGCTTTCCAAGTGGGTAGTAGTACCCCGGTTAGATGTCCTTGATGCGTCATTTCAATGATGGACCTCAAAAGCTGTTTAAAGTGATTCACTTTACCGGGAAATTAAGAAAAATGCAACATTACTAAGCCACTCTGTTGCCCAATAACAAAACAAAAGAAAAATGACAAGCCAAGGGGGCCTCCTAAAAAGATGTCCGGTTCAACCAACCAATAGCAGCAGTTCAACAAACTTTAGATAGTGCTAGTTAAGAGGCACCTTTCAAAATTTTCATAGGAACTTTATTTTTAAGATCACAATGAGAATTTACTCTGACTTTCTCAAGCATGCAGAAATACTCGAGCATAAATCAATTGCGAGACCCAATCAATTATGAAGCAAAAAGATTCCAAGGCACCATGATGTGGATCTGATCATCAATGGGGAACACACTAACATGACAGGGTCGATGCATTATAACAGGTGAGGGGAGAGATTTTTTGCAGGTTGGGGGTGGGTGGAGGTGAAAGAGAGAGAGAATTCCACATACCTGCCGTGTATCTTCATATGAAAGGAAAGTTTCCCAGCCCTCATTTGCTGAATAATCACGGCGAACAAGCTCAACTTTGTCTGGCTTTATTTTGTGGTGAATATCCTTGATGTATCACACAAGAAAATTTGTTGGAATCTATAGTACATGACAAATCCAACAAGGATGAGGATGGTAGTACTTACCTGGATTCCAGCTTCCCGTGTTCTAACATCCCGGCACTTCAAGCCCAAATCATCCATTCTAGCTAAAGCTAGCTCCCGAAGGTTCCCTTTCTCAACACCAGAAGTAACCAGAGGCATAGGAATATCCCGCTGAACTCTATAAACACGTGTCCAAGGGGGTACCATGGCTAAGATCCGAGCTACAATGTCCACAAGCTGCTCAGGCGGGTAATTCCTATACCTGCGCATGGGCATAACTAGTCATTACCAATTTCAATCATACCATCCAATCATCAGCTCACAAAACAAAAGCGACTATCTTGTCAAAAGAGAGTGGGTTTGTCGAATACAGCTAACGATCCACAATGTGAAATCAGGTCAGCTCATATGACAAAAGAAAATTTAAGAAAAAATTAAGTAAGCAGGAATTGAACCAAAATTGACATCAGACCTGCCCGTTTTCCAAAGCTCATAAAGTCCAGTCCCACGAATAACAAGCGTGGGATAAATTTTGAGCCCATCAGCTCTAAATGAAGGGCTTTCAAAGAACTCCTTGAAACTTTCCAAGTCTCTCTCAACCCCAACATTTGGAAGATCAGGCATCATATGAGCAACTACCTGCCACAAATGCAAGAACATTGAAAACATCGAGAACAAAACAAAAAGGATGCAGAGTTAGAATGGTAAAATTACACCATAGCACCTTGACGTTGCAACTTGCAATAGAATCATCTTTAAGGGAAAGGACGGTAACTGAATCAAAACAGATATGGATATGATATGATCCTCGTAGTATGATGCCTAAGAACAATGGGGACAATGCACCCAACAAGTTTATATCCACTAGATTAACGTAAGAAAAAAAATGCACCTTGAAGCCAGCATCCTTTGCCAAGCAAAAGCAATCAGCCACAGCAGCTACTGTGTGTCCCCTATTGGTGTCACGAGCAACATCCTCATATGTGCTTTGAACTCCAATCTCCAGTCGTGTACACCCATAAGAAAGCATTTGCCTCAAATGGGGTCCAAGGCAATAATCCGGCCTCCTAATAATTCGAGAAAGAACAAAGCACATTCAACTACCCTAAGAATTAAATACTGTAAGCTTGCAGATACAATAATACAAGCCATCCTAATTATGACGCGATTTAGGAATGATAACTTTCAATTCCATTTAAGCCTAACAAGGGAAACTGCATAGTGTCTTTTCCTTTTTTTAAATAATACACATGCACTTAAGCCCCAATCAGGATTCAGGAATGACTTCCCGTTTCTAGGAGGTGGGATATATCATTGAAGCTAATTGTAGTTGTTAAATGGTTCAAAAAAGAAGAATGGAAAACTAGGAAAAAGAAATGAATTATAAGTTTCATCAATTTTGACTTTTATAACGAAGACAAAATCTAGCTAATAGCTTCAGAAGCGGAATATAAACCCATCTCACATAAAAGAGCTTCTCATGTTCGATATGTATTTGTGGTTGTATAAAGTGTTAAAACAGAATATTTATGTGTTTGTGTGTGTGTGAGAGAGAGAGAGAGAGAGAGATTCATAGCTTTGACAGCACAGACAATCCAATACTTGTTAACAACTATCTTTGTGCAACCAAAACGTAATCCAGCAGACCACCATGGAGGGATCCATGAAAAGGTCAGCCCCCAACCAAAATGCCATATCAGCCATCACACAAGAAAAATGGGATTCGAATCCAATATGAAGAATTGAAATACTAACTCACGTTTCAATAGTCATCCCAATACACTTTGTTGCACTGTGTTCAGAGTAGGAAACTGCCTCTTCAACATTAGCAGAAGTATGCCCGGATAAAGCATCATGAAGATTTCTTGTGAAATAGTCACGGTATTCTGATGGCAATGACATAAAAGTTCCACCCATCAGGATAAACTCAACCTGCATACAATAAATCCGTCTCAATGAACAATAATATTCGGGATAACCATTCATGAAATTTGCACAACTAAAAGCAACTTATTCAGAAAGCATAACATTAGCCAACCTTATCTACACTGTGACCCAATCGTTTCAGCTGATCTATCCTGCTTCTAGCTTGCACATAGGGGTTATACCTGAATCCATGAAGGCAGCAGTTAAATACTACTGTACATACTATTTTTTGTTAAGAGATAAAGCCAAACATTCAAGCTCATAACAAATTTCTAGACATGAGGTCAGTCACAAATATAAACCACTAGATTCGCCTTTGCCAACATTGTATGCGAGGTACAAGTTTACATTTGTCAAAGAAAGTTATACTAAAGTGGACAAGATGACAAGTTGATAACCCTCAGTGTATCTCGGATCCACAATCAAACCACAATCCCACCAATAATATGGTTCTATCCATTCAACAGGTCTGACTTACTAAGCAAGTGTGCTATTTCAGTTCTTTGAGTTCAAATGCATGGCACTTTGCCCTAATATAGAAATCAATCAATGAATTTCTTGCTCTCTTAAAAAAGGACCTTCAAAAAATTTCCCATATAATAAAGAATTCGAAAAGGAGATTAATGCAAACATTAGCTATCCTCCGGTTACCTGTCACAAGAAAAAAGGTGAAAAAGGAAAAAGAGGAGGCCTTTGTCTGTTTAGGTGCACGTCTGTGACTGTGATTCATGTGTCAATTGTTTTTACAAGTTCCTTTCTTTTTTTTTTGGAGGGGGTACCTTCATCATCCCATTTAATTAGAATCATGGTACATATTTATTTCATTAAAAGATTAATGGCGTCTAAATTAGTAAGTATTAGCCTGATCATTCTCAATAAGAGATTAAAGCCAAGGAGTATTTAGACAAGGAATTCCACTCCGGACTCTCTAATCCACTTGTACTACAACTTCTGGGGAGTATTTACCCCTGCTATGGAGCACCTATCATATCAGCTGGAAAATCAACTTTTGCATTTAACTTCCGAAAAAAAAACTTTTGCATTTTTTTGGCAACAAAATAAACGAATTTAGGGTTATTTTCTCAGCAAACAAATGCAGCCTCACATTAAAATTCAAATATCAGCAGGTACAAAAGACGAATCAAACAACTAAACTAATTCCTCCTCACAAACAAAATAAATAATTCCTACGTTTGGTTGCTAAACAAATTATTATAGAGATGCCAAGAAACAAAACTCATTACATGTTTCTTCACAAGCCCAACCTGTCATATTGTTCAGTGTCCTCCACAAATTCAACTTGCGCTACCTAATTTATAGCAGGCTGATGAACTTTATTTTCTTGGCCATTCAATAATGAAAAATCTTATGCAATTTTTTCAGCATCCAAGCAGAGCATAACTTAAAAATCCAATAAACCTTACCTAGCACGAATTGCTCGCATACTAGTCGGCTCATACCCAGTATACGACTGAGTACTATACTCAAAATCCGAATCCGGTCCCCCCGGACAATAAACACATATATTCCCAGTAGTGGCAATATGCGGACACCGGTGAGGCTTCGACATGACGGCCACCACCGCAATCCCCGAGGCGGTCCGAACCGGCTTTGCTCGGAGTTTGGGGAGGAGTGACTCGCGCTCTGACTCAGGTAGTGCGGCGATCATTTCGACGAGCTTAGGGGCGCGTGATAGGCCGTATTTGCGGCACGCGGCGGACTTGATTGCGTTGAGGTCGACGTTTTGGCCTTTGTGGGAGAGTTCGACCATCTGGTTCACGATTTCGCCAATTGCTCGGACTCGAGCTTCTTCTTCGGTGAGGTTATGGGAGATTACGCCGCCGCGGCCTGGGCGAGGGAGCTTTCGGGACTCGGCCACCGCCGCCGTCGCCATGGGAAGAGAGAGACGAAGAAACGCAAAGAAGCTTGTGGCTGAACGCTGATTGATTTTGCGCATGTAATTATATAGTGTGCCGCTTTATTAGAACGACGTCGTCGTATGACACTTTATACTTTGAGACAATATTACATTCTTAATTAATCAATATATATACCACTTTAAAATTACTAGAATCTATTTATATCTATCTATTTAAAATGTCAACAAATTCTTACTTTCTCATTAATCAAAATTTTCATCTTCCCATCATATCCTTCTCTTGCTGAGGTTCTCTTGATTTTCCATTAGTGACTGTTAGATCCTCAACATAATAAAAACTATCTATATATATCTATACTACTTTTAAAATGTGAGCACGAGTGAAAAACTTTTATTTGACAAAATTAACCTTATTAAAATAACTAACTGATACCACTTATATCCTACCTTATCACTCACTTACTGCTTATACATGTAAAGTGAATACATCTAAACCTTGTTCATTTCATCATCTTAATTAATATTTGTATGTATAAGGTCAGATTAATACTAGACTAGATAGATTCATTAATTTCCAACAATTACATAAAATGAGATTGGTGGCACATTAAATTCATCCAGTGTCCTATCTCTTTTCACCTTCCTCTGCTACTGCTTCTCCCCTTGCATCCACAACTCAGTGAAAGAAAAACGGCCATCCTTCCCTCTCTTTACTGACCCTTAAGACTTTCGGCCTTCCCTCTACAACGTAAGTCATTCTCTTCTTGTCCAAAATTATTTAATTATAGGAATTCATTTACAAAAGTACCTGCCGTCAATTCACGTCTGAATTCCTTGCAAAAATAGTTTCCCATTACCCTTTGTCTTTGCTGCCAAACTAGCAAACTGCTTGAATGGGTGGTGCTTCTCTCTCTCGATCTCGATCTCGATCTCTTTTGTTGTGGAATTGAAGAAGGCGGTGTATTTGAAGGTTTTTTTATCACTTTAAACTTTTTTAACTTGATTTTATCATTTTTATGCCTAGAAACCATTTCATATTTGATTTTTTTTCGAATTTTGAGAAGAATGCTAATAAAATTGGATTTTTGAACTCCGTTGAGTTATATATTTTCTTCAATTTTTTATTGACATCTTTGTAATTTCATTCCATTAGCTTAACCTTTATTTATGTTCAAATCTTCACAGGAATCTGGCAAGGATTGTTAGGAGAGAGGACCCATATCAAAGGCCTTCTTTTTCCTGCCACTGATTGTGAACCTCAATATTCAATCCATCAATCTCAAATTAAAAAACATATATTCTACACTACAAGGTTGGTCTCTTCGATCATAAACTTGGTTCGAGTTATTCATGTAGAAAAAAAAAATTGCAGATTAGTTTGGCAAAGCAAACCCTCTTAGCTGCATTGTTTGTGCTGCTATGCATACTTCAAATCCTTGATCACCTCCTCTAATTGCACATTCTCTCCTAGGAGAAGTGGGTTGATGTGTTTTTATACTGGATAAAATGCTATAATTATAACCATAACTCTCTCATGATTCCTGAATCATGATGAAATAACTATAAAAGCATGATAGGCCAACTCGCAATTCAATTTGCTGGGTCTTGAGTTTTCCTATTGCATAATAACTACATGATCATCAATGTGTACACATGTGACTTATAGTCATTCCTGTTGGTTTGACTTCACATCTTTGTAGCTATCTTTTGATACCTTGTCTGGTCTGCCAAATTTTATTGCATATTAGCAAGGAGAAATTCGATTATGGGTTGTATAAATTGTTGAATGCTTGACGAATTTTCAAATTTATCCAATTCATAGAATCATTTATTTGGTTTTGTCTTTAAAATTTTTGGCTGAAACCAAGTATCTTAATCATCTTTTTTTTTTACTAACTTAGTGAATCAAGTTCTAATTACTAACCTCATGTTATTTCCCTAAAAATAGCATCACGTAGAAGTCAAAAAACGAGTGCTAGGAAACGAATTAGAGATTGCGAGACATGAGAAGGAGTTGAAGTAATGTTAGCTTTCTTTATGCTGAACAATTGTATTTTTCTTCCACATATACTTTATTTATAATTAGTCGGAGAAACCTTTTGCTAACTCTTGGTTTCCAAACTATGACTCGAAATGGTTGGCGTTGCACGTGTGCACTAACTTAAAAATTTGGCTACTTAACTTGGACAACTTTTGCTTTCTACTTTTACCCTAATTAATGCCATAAAACCAATGTTATCCTTCGTGTCTAAGAGTCCTTTTGTGGTTCAAAATTTTTTTTTTGTTTACTACTATAAAACCAACTTTATCGTTGGAGTCCACAAGTTATTGTGGTTCAAAAACAAATTTTGTTCTTTGTCGGTCGTGATGAGGATCACATATTCAAGAAGCCAAAGAGACTACTTCTGAATTCAAAGACAATTTTTGAGAACTATATATTGTATTTCCTCTAAATTAATTAATTTTTTGTACGAATTAGTGGTCATGATAATCTTAAGCATATATTTTACATGATTATTTTCATTTCATGGTACTGTAATTGTGTAGAATTTTTATTGATTTTTTTGTGTATTGCTTATGATTGATTAATACTATCTGCGTAGTTGTTCATGTTCAGTACTTAGTCTAAAAGTTGACTCTACAATTTCGTAGTAGACATAATGTAGAGGCTAAGTCGAATGAACTACAGACGTGTAAGTTTGTCAGCATGAGAGGTTACGTGAGGTTGGTAAATTGCAATTGTTGGCTACTTAGAGATGGTATGCTTGAATTATCCACCAATCTCTGTATGTGTGTATGTATTTGTGTTTGTGTTTTTTCCGAATTACTTTTTTTCTTTCTATTTATTAAGTCATACAGTTTAATAGTGGGATTTAATCCTGCAGGCAATTTTTAATTGGAGTCTCAATAACTTTTTATTTTCTAAAGACTAGGTAGAGTTCATAGATTAATGGGTAATTTATTAGTATCGCTAAGTTAATTGTACTTTCTTCTCTCATTTTTTGACATATTGTTGGTTTTTAATTCTATTAGAAAGTGCACTATGGCCTTTTCTGTAGTATCTTAATTGCATGGTCAGCCTTTTAGAAGGAAAATTGTAACCTGGAAATCTAGCTTGTTCTGAGCACCATCAAAGGGTAAGCCAATATTGGTATTTTGTGGCAACACATCTTTCTTAGAGTTTATGTTCAGAAATTTTGTGTCCTGACTTGTATGATAACAGTCTTAAATGACTTATATGTTAGCGGATCATGTTTTCTTATAGTTCTTGGTAATAACAAATAATGATGTCTAAGCATGATCGTTTACATATAAATTGACAATCATAAGTAAAAGCTGTGATATATTAAGTAAAAAAATTTCTCACTACTTGTCAAATCTTTTCAATTTGGAGACTTCAACAAAAAGGAGGCTTTATGATTTTTTTTTTTTTTTGCATGTTGTTATTTCAAAGCATAGTGAAAAATGATAGGACTTATACATGATTTGCATTAAGCCATTAATTTGTCTTGGTGTTGAAGATAGATCGTACTCCCAAGAAAAATTAATGTTGTCTTTCTAGCTTCAAGTTTTACAACTCTCAAGACTTTTTTGTTATTCTCTCAAAAAAATAAAAAAGTAACTTGGTTCTAAATGTCTTTGTAATGCATTTTAAAATTTCTAAGCAGACTATTCTTTTCGTTCAATGTAAATTTTTATAAAAATGAAATATTGCTAAGTTTGAGAGTTAGGAGACAGAAAGAGTTGCATTTCTCCTGAGTTTTCCTTTCATGTAATTTATAGGAGGCATACCATATTCTAAAATTGACCACAAATATTTTTTATAAGATTTCCTATTTGGCAGTGTCGAACTTCAATCATGGAAGAAACATGAAATGTTTACTCAAATTGTAAATATTGAGGAAAGTGGTCTACATTTTGTATATATAATATTTCATATTCAAAATAGTTCACGTGTAACGGACGTGTACATCAACTAATTTAACTAAAATTACGTAATATATAAGAGATTTGGACCAGAGAGTTTATAGCCGACGAGACCCAATCCTGAATTCCTCCTTGAAAGACAAGACCCGATGGAGATAAATAGCAGATCTAAGAAAATCACGGGATTTTAAAACTGCATAGGGTTGTTCGCTAATCCATTGGAAGAGATGGGTATATATCTCGGGATTCATCATGACAGGAGTTTTTGTTCATAAAGCTATATATTTCATTAGAAATTACAATCTAGAAGAAAATGAGTATATATCGCATCTTGAGTAGTAAAGTCTTGTGCTATGAATGCATATGCACGTAAAAAATACATGTGTTGAGCTACCAAGAAATAATAACCCTTAAAGAAACTAGAGTAAGACCTAATTGAAAATGAATCTAATTATTGATTGTGTCATAAAGACACATATGCTCACGTCTCAATCCTTTCCAATCCCTTCTCCCGTAGGAATATGTGCATCTAAAAAATCTTTTATACTATGCCCAATCTCAAAATTATCAAGGTTATTGTGTTTTCTTTAGTGTTATTGGTTTATTGTGTTAGTTAATTGGTATAGATTATTTAATTAAAATTTTAAAATAATCTAAAAATTAATAACTAAAAAATACACGTTTTCTTGATTTTTTACCCTATTGTTTTGGGCAAAAGTCGGCCGAAATATTACCCTTGAGTAGATAGAGTCTACGAAAAAATTGACTTTCCACAAAAAATGAATAAAAAAATAAAATACTATAATTCCTACATGTTTTGCAGGGTGAACGCACCTAAGTTTGAGGGGCCATTTATGGCTTCCATTCTCTCTCTCCCTCCGTCCTTCTCTTTCCTATCGAGTCAAACACCCTCTCAGGTTACTCCTATACTAAGACTGCATGTCACTTTTTCTTACCCCAAACCCCTGATTGTTTCTCGAGTAAACGAAGGGAAAAAATAAGAGAAATAGTCCTTAAAATAAGGGCATATATGTTTATGTTCTTTGCGTACTGTTATGTTGATGAATTGGGGTTAACATGGTTATTATTAATTGGTTAAACGTGTGCTTGGGATTGTAGGTAGTATCGACCATTGGTACATAGATGAGGTGTGTATGGTTTGAATTCTTGTAATGTCGAAGTTCAAATTCATCTATATTCATGCTTTTTGTTCTGAAATTTGACCTTTGCTCTTGCATCGAATATATTGTGGTTTTGATTCGATTATATAGTTGGTGCTGAAGTGCCCTCCACGGACGAGAGGAGTAATTGGTGTCCTACGCATAGCATTTCCGACACTGGCTCGTGGGTTATTTTTTCAACGGGTAAATAATTGTAAAAGTAAAATCTTAATAGATTTTGAAAAATCAAATAATAAGTCAAAAGCTAAATAGTTATTATTGCATCGGCCCAAAACTGTGCTAATTAATTTTTACGGTGCTTACTCTATTTATTAGATTGAATAAAGTAATTAGAGATATCTGTTTCTTCATAGTTTGGCTTCTATGACAGGTTTTATAGTACACTAGTTTTGTGCCTCTGTGCATTGATCTTGTTTTCTGTGGAGCGGATGAGTTGGACTTCCCTCTCTAAGAAATAAAAATAAAAAGTATAAAAAAGTGAATAAATAAATTTTTTTTTTAACTCATCAAAATTAATTTTTCCAAAATTATAAAGAAAGTTTATTATTTGTATTGAAATATATCTTGATAATACTTAAAACATGTTTAAGGTTGAGCTCAAGTATTTAGCACAAACCTTCCAAGCTCAGATCATTCAGCTGGTCGCAGATTCATTTATAGGGTCTAAATGTAAATATTTTATTATATATAAAACTAAGGGAGTTTTTAAAATTTTAAGGAAGAGTTTCAGAATTTGGTGGGGGGTTTTAGAATTTGTTTTTTTTTTTGGGGGTGCCCGGGGGGGGGGGGAGGGAGTTTCAACAGTAGTAGCCGAAGGCGACAAGCAATCCATATTTGGCGGCAGTAGCAGAGGAGCAAGAGGAGGGGGAGATAAATACCTGATTCATAGCAGATCTGGCGAGCAATTCGGCTTCCTCGATTTTTGCAAGGTTGATAGCTAGGGCGTTGAAGTTGAATTTTTTAGAATTGCTCGTCAAAACAGCTAAAAAGAAGGAGTAGCGAGAGATGTTGGAGATGCTGTTACTGAGGTTGTGTAAAACTTTGTTACTACATATTTACAACCGAATGGTAATGGCAGAAATGATATTGATCATGTACGTTTAATGCTGAGAGGTAAACACCTATGCTGCTTCATCACTTGTTTAACTTGTAACGTCTGCTATTTCTATCACCTGTTCACTGTCTCCGATGACTTGATTTTCTAGTTCACGCTGCATACCATTCTGCAGGGTTAATACATGGCTATTATTTAAGGGCTATTAGCGGTCTATATCAAGTCAATGGGGGAAAATAAGGATTGATTGTCTCTGATTGTTCTCATTTCACATTCATAATCATATGCTAGATGTTATTAATGTAATTGTGTTTAGCACATCATAGCCATTCTTTTGCTTCATGTAATATGCAAGCTCTAACCCCCCAGCCCCCTCCCCCCTCCCCCAAATCCACACACACACACACACAAAATGCATAATTAATCTCTTGTTTGCATTTGGCCTCATAGTATTCAATCAAGTCAGGATTACAATTTTCGCTCGGATTGCAGGAAAGATACAAAATCATCCATTGCTTGAAGAGCAGAACCCTTTTGACCTCCCTCCTCAGTTACTGCTGCTCTCATCAACTCTCCAATTTGCACTGCTTTTTTCTTCATTCTCTCTCCTCCTGCCTCTTTATCCATCACTATCTCAATAACTTTCTTCACCTCCTCCCTCACAAGAGTACTCTGCACTCCCCTAGTCAACTCTACACACACACCCATTTCCTCCACCAGCATCTTTGAATTATAACCCTGCTCCGCCGCCAATGGCCACCCTATCATCGGCACTCCTTGGCTCAAGCTCTCCAAAACGGAATTCCACCCACAATGGGTTAGAAAAGCCCCTGTCGATTTGTGAGACAAAACCTCCAATTGAGGAGCCCACTTGTGCACCAACAACCCTTTTCTGCTCTCAACCATTCTCTTTTCAAACTCCTCCGGCAACCATTTAGATCTGAATTCACCTTTCAGGTCGAAACCAATCGGAGGCCTTATCACCCAAATGAATGGTTTTCCACTATCTTCCAAACCATTGGCTAATTCCATCATCTGTGAAGCACTGACAGTGTTCTGGGAACCAAAGGAAATGTACAGAACAGAACCATGAGGGTGCAAATCTAGCCATTCAATGCATTTCTCAGCAGACAATCCAGGTTCCTTCCCAGTCCGGTCACCGATGATTTTGAGATTCGAAGAAGATGATCTTTTGAGCATGGATGGTGGGAGAAGAGGCCCAATACACCAAACAGGAAGCTTCGTATAATTCCTCAGAACTTTGAAACCCAGAGGTTCAATCGCTTCAACTGTGTTGCACAACCACCCAACAGAGCCTAGAGAAAGTGAAAGCTGGGGTTGAAAAAACTGGGACCAACTATCTGTACCATCGGCAGCTCTCAGAAACTGATGAAGCTGTGAGACATGAAAATGACACGAATCAGGAAAACCCGGTAGATTGAACTCATCAGACCCTTCATTTGATCGATGTGGAAGGTTTTGCCAGAGAGATACATAGGCTGCAGTGCCGTAGGCACCACCGGTGGTGAAACTAACATTAACAGTTTCAAAAGACTTGGCAACACCATTAGCCCAGCCCATGAACACATCGGAGATTATACAGAGTGGAGTCCGACCATCTTTTCCGGCGATATCAGAGATTAGCTGGCGAAAAGGAGGTTCAAGAGCAGAGGAGGCATGAAAGAGATTTATGATTTGATGCAAAGGCAAGGACTCAGTGGTTTCAGTGTTGGGTGGTAAGCCATGGCTGGAGCTGTTAAAGGGAAGTGCCACTACCTGAATTTGTGGTTGTGCGGCAGTGGTGGTGGTGGTGGTGGTGGAGTCTTTGGCGATGGTGGAGTTGAGGTAGTTGGCGTTGAGGGGGGTGGTGGCAATGGTTATGGTGAAGCCAGTTTTTTGATGAATCTGTTTTGCTAGTGCTAGGAAAGGGATTAGATGGCCCTGTGCCATGAAAGGAAGCAACACTATGTGTTCATGAGAGCCACCCATCTGAGTTGCTTCTTTGGTTCTAATGGTCCTTCTGAGGAGACTTGGATCTGACCAGTTGTGGTGAAGAAAGGAATCTGATCAGTGGTCGTGAAGAAAGGAAGTAGCTTTGTATTGGGTGAACTGGCGGCGACCTTACCTTTGCTAATCTCATAAATTATGACAATAGTAATTCTTTCTTTTAACTAGTCGAACATATAGGTTTGGTGATGCCGACCAAATCGGCGCATTTTTTCATTAGTATTGGTTGGCCCACCATTATTTTACAAGAATAAGTGAAGCATCGCATGCCACGTGGTTGAAGCGCCACTTGCAACTAAAGAGTTTTCCATTTGCCGTATCAATAATATTATGTTAATTAAAATTTAATTTAAAATTTAAAGAATTTTTCATTTGTCGTATCAATTAAATTTTAAATTTAATCAGGATAATATTATTGATAGGACAAATGAAAAACTCTTTAGTTGCAAGTGGTGTTTCTGCCACGTGGCATGCGATGCTCCGCTTATTCTTGTAAAATAGTGGGCCAACCAATACTAATAAAAAAATGCGCCGATTTGGTCGGCATCACCAAACCTATATGTTTGACTAGTTAAAAGAAAGAATTTTTGTCGAAGCATCACCAAACCTATATGTTTGACTAGTTAAAAGAAAGAATTTTTGTCGAGGCCCAGCTTGAGTGAACTAAGTTAGATTTTGAAAAAAAAAAAAAACTCATTCTAATGGTGATACTATATGATAATGTTGACATGATATTACTAATAGATAATATTAAAATATATAAATATATAAACCCTACAAAATTAATAGCCAACCCTCCGTATAAGCAAATAATTATCAACTCTTTCTCTATGTAAATAAAAAATTGTCCAAATAAAATTCATCTTACTTGATATTTTATTATTAATTGGTGATATTAAATTAACATCACTAATAAAATATCACCATTGCATTCAATATTCCCTTGTTATTTTTGACATTTTCACTCCACCCCTTCTTGTTTTAAAAATTACAATAGACCCTTAAGATATGATAATCTATATAATAAAATAACTTACAATTCAAATTTTAAAAGATAAACAAAATAATTTTTGTTATTCACTGTTAAGATCACTTTAAAGTTAATCTAACAGTTAATATTAATACTCTAAATTTAATAGGAAAAATAAGTCCATAAAAGTGTATTTAGAGTGACTTTTTAAAAGTACTTATAGAAAATTTTTTTCATAAATACTTTAAAAAAAAATAATGTTTGAAATCGTCTCACCACTACTATCTCTACCACCACCACCGCCATCACGACCACAACTGCCATCGCCGCTGCCACCACCACCCTGCCACCACTACCACAACCACCGCCGCCACCACCACCACTGTCACTGCCACGACCACCACCATTGCCACCGCCACCATCACCATCACCATCACCACCGTTGTTACCACCGCCACCACCACAACCATCATCATTTCCTACCACCACCTTTCACCCCCATTGCAAATCGATGATTAAATTCCTTTATCTCTTCTCTATATTTATGATTTGATTTTAAATATGAATATAAATACACAGACAATAACCAGTATAATATATTAATATGTAACAAAACACACCCCTCAACTAAAAGGAACAAAGTCTCACAGCAAATATGTCATCAAATTTGAAGCATGAAGAACACATTTTGCCCCCCAGCCCAAAGGAAAAATCAGGATTTGAATTTCATTCATCTTCACTCCTAAGTAACATCCACTTCCCCATACTTGAGCTGCTATAGACACTTCATCAGCACCTCCAAATCAACCCACATGCCAGTCTGCCATAAATCACCACTCAGCATCATTCTTACCTCAAACTCTCACCCTAATTTTGCTTCCAACTCCCACACCAATCTGCCATAAATAAGCCACTCACCACCATTCTTGCCTCATTTCCGCCACCAAATTCCACCCCTCATTCTTTAATATTCTATATGCAAAACCAACAAAAACTCGACCAATTCCAAGCAATTGGAAAATCACCACACAACAAACCAAATCAAAATTCATACCTCACAATCCACCTACAATCTGATGAATCCACAACAATACAGAGGAAATTAATCTGCCCACAAATCACCCCCAAAAAATATACTAAAACAATTCACCCAAAATTTCATCAAATTTGACGACTCAAGTAACCCTTGACCCAGCTTACAATCCATCAAAACCAAAAACCAAACCCACTACAAAATTCAATCCGACCATTAACCAGATCAAGGTTCAGACTTTGAAGAAGAAGGGTCATCCTCTGACTGCAAATTAGATTCCAGTCTGTATCTGTGATGCTTTGGTTCGTGCATGGGTGTCCTGCTGTAGGCATAACTATGGCGCGTTTGTGTTGTTTTGATGGCAATGTTTGAGACCGAGAAAGGTGGGAGAAAAAGTGAACCGAGAGAAGACATAAAAGGGAGAGACAAGGGTGGTGGGATTGTTGGAAAGGGAGTTGTTCAGGGTGCAAACTGTCATTTGCCTAATGAATTACTGGGTCAAACCTTAGGAAGGTAATCTATAAATTTGCCTAGAATAATCATTCATAAAATATAAAATGCTTGTGGATTAAGATCCATTGTTAATCATAAATGCCTACTGAAAAACGAAAAATACATTCTATACAGAATTTATGGAATTCTCTCTGAATAAAATTGCTTGCAGAAATCTTCCAAGCCTTCATAACCAAACCAGTTTTGTTTCATCTGCATTGAATCATAGAAAGATATATACCCATCACTAAGTAGATAAAACTATGACAGCTACATATTTAATAGAAATAACTTACAAAGTAAGGGTAGCCCTCCTTAATGCTAAAACTCTCTGGAGCACCACCCACAAATAAGTTTATGAAGTAAAGAACAAAGTAGCCACATTCATCCCCATTTTTCTGTTGTGGCACCTGAAACGATTTTTTCCTTCAATACAAGCTAGATCCCAAAAGGAAAATATAGAAAGCAGTAAAAAGTCCACGTCAAGGTTGATTACCTTGGGCACCAAGAGAGGAATTCGAGAGATCAGCTTTTTATTCTCTGACCTTCCCTCAGCTTTGTAGATGTCCAAAACAAGCCTAGAGAGCATAACAAAATATAAAAAGCAGAACTCCGCTAAGAGATTACTTTTGAACAAGTTAAGAACCCTGTTTACTCACACATTGAAAAGACAAAGCATAAACCTTGTTTAGCTGTGTCAGGTTCAAGCCAATATAAGGACACAGGACTCAAAAACAGAAAAACATACTTTCTTATATCAGGTTCAAGGCGCCTTGGGTTTGCCATTTGGAGCGAATCTAGTAACAACATGCATGGTCTTCTGGTTTTTGATTGCAGATTCTCACCAAAGTGGCAAAAGATTAACAGACTCCAGTGACTCCTATGGAATTGACAATTAAACTAAGAAATATCATAGAGCGACAAACCATAGGCTAATACAACAATCACAGATAACAAATTAACTTCTTTTTCTTCAGAAGGTGAAGGTAGATAACAAATTAGCACTTACCAACAAACTATAGGAACCAAAACATATTTCTTTGAAAAAATGTCCTGTCTCCTCATCCATGTCAACACCTTTTCTCTACTAGAAGCTTTCAAGTATAAGGAAAACCATAAAGAGTCAAAGCGCGTAAAGGAAGCCATCCTATCTTCTGAGAAGGTCCTCCATATATTTCTAAACATTTCCAAAAAATATATTTAGACAAGACATAGATTGAGAGAGCTGCATTCTTCACAGTATACCAATGGGGATGATTTTGTTTGGGGTCCAAGGTAATGGGTGTGATGGCTTACTCTAAGTAATGTTCAAATGTTTCACTGTTCAGCTTCTTTTTTGGATTTGAGACCTTATTCTGGCATTTCCTTGCCCTCCTGGATCGTTTACGACAGGGGAAGGTACCCAAAAAACATGGAGAAGTTCTCTCAACTGTTATCATCTCTTCAGCGTCATGTTGAGTCAAGTTCTCTTTGTTAGCACACACAGATGCTGCAACGTGTCGCCAACAGGACCGGTGTTTTAAAATTTGATCTCCAGAAACCTCTGCCATAATAGAACACTTATTCATCAGGCCTCTACATTACATAAATCATGGAAAAATTCATCAAAATCACACTTATCGTCAATTACAAGCCAAACTAAGCAGCTCTATTTGTGTGAATTAGGCGAGGGAAAAAACTAGAATAATTTAAGGACAACTAACCTGCACTAACAAAAATTTGTGCCACCCACATGCTAACATGCACATAGCGTGGCTATTCAACAAACAACTACACGTATTCCTCTCTGTTTAGGTGCATACATAGACACAGACAGAGGCAGAGGCAGAGGCAGAGGCAGAGACATTGGAATAATTATACAAAGAATACATGCAACTGAGGCCCTTGCGTACTAATTGCTTTTTTATGTTGAAAATAGAGGAAACAAAAAAACATCTAACCTTTGATACCTCTTGACATTAGCTTGAATAATCCAACCACCCCAAACATTTCAATATTATACTATGATTCCTTACCATTTAAATACTGTAATAACAGGATTCTCTTTGTTACTCAAATAAAACATGTCAATAAAAGTAACGCTTTAAAATGTTGACCTTGTCCTTTTTATTCTTAGTAGCAACAAATTTTTTCTCTATAGCCAAACATCCCTACCTCCTCTTGTTCTCTCCCCCTCTCTCTATTATAATATTATATAGCCATACACATAGGGTTGAACTACCATCCTCAACATGACCACTGCCTGTACAACTGATATAAGATTATTGCTCATAATAACTTTTCATAAAAATAGAAATCGACAGACCCCAACTGAAAGAAGCTAGACGGAGTAACGACAAGTGAGATAAAGAAAGCAACTGGCTCAGTGTCAACACTACCAACACAACACAACACCCACCACCACCTCCCACAAGAACAACAATGGCTGACAACACTAACACAACATTGCCCAACAACACTAGCACAACATTGCCTAACAACACTAGCACCAACATTGCCCACATAGACATAATGTTATTTTCTTTGTTTTTCCAATCTCTTGGTTTATAATTTTCATTCAGGCTAATGGGTGTAACACCACCACCGCTTTGGCCGCCATACCAAGGGGAGGGGGTTTGCGGGTTTAGGTTGGGGGTTCCTTCAATACCTACGTACTATTGATCACTCCAACTATTTATTGATGGAAGTCTATCCAACTCAAATTTCAATGTTTCAGATCTTTAAGTCCCTTCTCTCTCTCTCTCCAACATTGTGATCTTTGGTGGCTTCCAGGCATGGACAGATCTAGTAAGGGGCTATGCCCACCCTTAATTTTTTGGAATTTTTTTTATTATGTGTTGAGATATAAAAATTTGAACATTATTTAAATCTGTTTTGTGGTGTCCACCCTATCACTTCTATCTTTGACAGTATTTTATGAGAATATGAGTTGTGCTTAATTGATAATTATATATTTGGTTAATTTTATAGTTTTAGGACTTTCTTCAATTAATTTTGATTACATAATTATGAGTTTTTTGGATTTTTGTACTTCATTTGAAAGTTAAGTTAATAAGTTACATAAATTGGTGGAAAATTCGATTTTATTTTTCAATGACTTCCTATTTCTATTTTTCCACGACTTACTTTCTATTGTTAGATAAATTAAAAGTGAAAATTGTGAGAATTTAATGGATGATTGATAACTTGATTACATATAGATAACTTGATTACATATAGAGAAAAATATTTTTAATGACATTGACAATGAAGTTATCGCACAATACTTTCAAATATAAAAATTCTAGTCAATTGCAATTTTTTTGGATAAGATCGTAATTAGTCTATTTTTGTTTTGTTTTTTTTTTTGTTGTTTATAAACTATTGACCTTTAGTCTTTTTGTGTTCAATGAATTTTTATGTATTAATTTTGATTAATAGATATAATAACATTATTTTATTTTTATAGATTGGGAGAAAAAGCCTAAGCCTTGTCGTTAAAGTTCTCACCCGGAAATAAATTTCTGCCTCTGCTCTTACTTCCAAAGTTTAATGTATGGCTTAAGAATCTTCAATTTCTCAATATGTTTGACAATACCTTAGCCGGAAAGATTCCCAAAATTCTGACCTCTTTGTCGAATGTCACATTTGTTTCCTTAAAAGTAGCTATTATTTAAAGTGAATTTCGATTTGTTGAAGTGTTAGATCTATCTTCGAATCTGTTTATTGAATGGTTGCATCTTGATCTTGTGAACTCATATGAGACCTCAAACAACATCTTCTAGTCAACCAACTTTTCTATTTTTTCCAATCTAATTTAAACCAATTTCGACCAAAATATGAAGGACAAACAATTTCAATTTTCAAGGGTAAGTATGTCATTTTTTCAAGCAAAATCTCCAATTGCAGTTTTTGTATTATTTTTAAAATGTCTGAGGGTAGATAAGAAACCCATAGGTTTGAATGTCATTGTAATTTACACTTTTATTTTCTTTCCCGCATTTTGCCAACAATCACCTAACAAAAAGGAGGTTAGTGCACAGGGGAAGGGAATGCAAAACCCCATCGACAATCATGGAGAGATGGGACACTAGATATCATGTTCTTTGGTGTTATCATGCAATGCACCTTAGGATTACAAATCGACTTAACATGACATCAAAATGAAAAAGCATAGAACACCTCTGAATGCGTAATTCCACCAATCATAACACTTCCTCCCATTTCATCCCCATTGTCCAAAAAAAAAAAAAAGGAATACTAAAGGAAGAAAGATAATAGTTGCTTATATTTCATCCATTAAAGCAAATGGTTTTTGCTCTTCTGTCGTCTTCCTTTTTTTGTTCTGAGGTTGTTGGGCCACAACAGAATGGGTGCCTAGCCCTGCCCGAACCATAAATCCCTAGACCTGGATGAGGACATAATTCAAGCATAGGTAACTTCCATCATTACCTAGAGACTTTAGCAACACCACCAAGGATATGAACTTCAACAGAGTCAAACTAATTCCAACATTAGAATTTTCAATCAAGACAATAAGTAATATCCAATAAAATGCTGTGATCAATATGACCTGACGACAATCAGTAAAGAACAAATGTTAGAATTTAGTTCACATTGTCAAGTTCAAATCATTACCCACATATTATCATCAAACACATATAGCAACTCATTTGACAGGTTCTAACCACTATCAGAAAAGGTAAGCAGATTAAAATTCTGTATGATAACAAAACTTAAAACATGAAACACTTTGTTGCATAAATCAAACCCTAATTTGGAGCAGAGATGCGAAACAGATTGGACTTCCAACTATATGACAACAACATTGTCGATTTAACCAAAAAAAAGAAGATTAACAACCCTACTTTTCTTCTCTTTTCCCTTCATTTACACACCAGCCAAAGGCAGAGGCACACATACACATATACCGAAGTTCATAACAAGCGTGTCGGAGATCCACAGAAAGGAAAATTAGAGAGAGAGAGAGAGAGAGAGAGAGAGATCGAACGGTGACGAAAAAGGATACCTGAACTCGATGAAGAGAGATTGACAATCGTCGTGTCTTGTAGCTTTCTCTTCCTCATGACCCCTCTCTCCAGTGCAGAGCTGTTGTGGCAATGTCAAGAATAGGTGAGGACCTTTATATGGTCTTGGATTGCATCCGGGCGAAATGATTTCACTAGCAGATGGGTATGGAGAGTTGCCGCCGACAGTAGACTTCGAGGAGGCGGTGCAGTGGATCAAAAAACCTGGGCCGTTTTATATTATACGGACTTCGTTCAGGCCCAGTATCCATCATTTATATTCAGATATTGGAATATTGGGCCAGATTTAGGCCCATGTCCTCAACAATGGCTCCACTATGGGAATGTTGGGCCAGATTGAAGCCCTCAAAATCCTGATGAACAATTTTTTTTTTGTCACGCATAATTACATATAGATTTTTGCAAGTTGATGTTAAAAAATATTTTTTTTATACTTGATTCGCTTATTAATTTATGTTTAACGAATCGCATCATATGAAGTTTGTATCGTGTATGAATTGTGTATATAAATAAGTTGTATCATATATTTTTTTTAATTGATTTACTCATAGTCTCATACCCAATATCCAATTCATTTATTTATGAAACTGGGCCGAATCCACCCTTCTTTAAAATAGGTGGTTTGAGGAAGACTCAAACCCTAAAATTTCATATCAACTTTGTGTCGTGTTATATTTTAACACCTTTAATTATAGGCCGAGGACTAGACTCAAACCATCAACCTCCAAGTTAGTAGTGAGAGAACTCACCCAGTAAGATAGGATTAAAGTCCTGTGGTTAACTTACTTAGACCTATTTTTCATTCTTAAAACATATCTTTTGAACTAAATAACTTTTGAATATCTGAAGTTTTGCTTAAGATTCTACACATTATATTCATTGGGATACGAATAAAACTTGGAACCCCAAAATAGAATATCTTAAGGCCCAATAAAAGTGAACGGGCTTTTTGTAGAGGCTCGTGACGTTATGTCGTGGTAATATCAAAGTTTTTTTAAAAAAAATTAGTTGTTTGAATTTGATTTTCATGTTATGCACAAATTATATTTAATTAGATTCATATACTTTATAAAATACTCGTTATTTCCCATGCCTAAAGACACGTAATTAAAAAAAATGGTCAATAATAAATATATTTATATTCATATCTAAAATCAAATTATAAAACAAGAGAGAGGAAAAAAATTTAAACACTGATTATAGTGGGGACGAATAGTGATAGTGATGACGGGCAACAGTGATAGTGATGACGGGCAACAGTGATAGTGGTAAGAGATGGTGAGAATTGTGATGAATGATGACAATTGATTGTCATAGTGGCAGTCGTGGGAAAGGGGCAGTGGAGGTGATGGTGGTAAGCGTAAGGTAGCGACAACGAAGGTAGTGGTAAGGTGGCGATAGTGGTGGTGGTGATTGTTGTAAAATAAGTGATGGTGAGGTGACAATAATGGTGGTGGCGGTAGCGATGGTGATGGTGGTAGTGATAGTGATGATTGTGTTGGGGGTGGTGGTAGTAGATTTCATGAGAGTTGTTCAAAAATTAAGGTTGATAATTGAGCTGAGGTACTGGTGCTTTGATCGGAGAGGGGCTCGACTCAAGTTTGACTTTTGTTTTAAATGAGACGAGCTTCAATAATTTTTTAGGTTTGTTTATAAAAATAAGCCTAAAAAATTTGACTTATTTATATGTAAAATTGTCAAATTACTTGAGCTCAACTTATTTTTGCCTCGACTTATTTTTTAAACGAGTTAAGTTTGAACAATTTTTTAAATTCATTTATAAAAACGAATTTGACAGACTCAATTCGAACCGACAAAGTTCGACTCGGTTATCGGGCCATAATCAAAATTGCTAGATTTAGAAAGTTCAAATTTGATATGTAGTATTTGGGCTCAAAGCTCAATCCTAATATTTGATGGGTTTTTTTTGGGTGCGTGAGAGTAATGGAGAGAGAATGGAGTAATGAATGAACTTTTAGTTTGTTTTCCTAAAAAAATGCATTTCGGGTGAAATAAGTTTTTTTAATGTAGTTTAATTCAATTAAATTTAAATTTTTATACCAATTTCCAAATTTTCCGTATTTGATCTGCAAAATTTGGGCTCCAAGCTCAGCCCAAGTGTTTTGGGCCCAAAAGAGGACATATGCTGGTAGGCCCATTTAACAGCAGTCCCATATTTTCAATAGAGAAAAGCAGGAGTTTTCGTAATCCGCTTCCTGTGCTCATCAGTTTCTCTCTCCACAAGCAACCTCTGAACTCAACCGAGCGAACTCTGAACTCTGTACTCCAGAGAGAGAAGAAGAGATGGAAGGTGAAGATGGTACACAGCAACCCCAATTTGTGCTCGCACACAAGCTATTCCTACTTACCCACCCCGACGTCGACGACATCGAGAAAGTCCGCCTACGTGATGAGGTCTTCAACTCCGTCGTAGCCGATGGTACCCACCATCACCGCCACCTCTATAATTACCCACTGATTTGTTTGATTGATGTTTTTTTTTTAATTTTTTATTTGTGGTTGCAGATATGGCTCCGTTGTACGAAACCCTAGCTGCCAATGGTGTGTTGAATCTGGATCAGAAGGTACTTGATTCGATGCGTGCCAAGATTGAAGATGACCTTAAGAAGCTAGACGAAAAGTAAGTTTGCATTCTCTTTGTTTTATGCCCTGTGGGTGTAGTTCCTTTTGGGAATGGAAATCTTTATGCACACAGAACATTCCAACCATAAATTCAGTTATACTTAAAGATTGAAATTTGATCCCATATGGTCTTGAACTGTTGACTTTGGCATAAGACTTTAGCTAATGACTAGGAAGTGTGAAATCGTTTGTGTGAAGTGATACATGAGTTGAAAATGTAGTTAAATGCGTGCACGGTTGATTGTGGTTTATTATCTAGTAGAATTGGTTGTCTTATAATTCATTTTCGTTCTTATCTGTATTCCAAAGTGCTCATCTATATGATTAGTTACTGCGCAGTTCATGGGAATCTACAATGTTAAGAGTGGGGATCTGGAATTGGAGACTTGACTATGTAATTGGTAAATAATTTGTTCAAGTTTTGGACAACTTTGCCTCAAGTCCAAATTCTAGTGCCCTAATTCCATGCTGTCAAACACGGTTGCTCTTGCTCAGTGGGGTTGTGTGGTGGAGGAATAGGTGGGAAATTGGGGACATCTGAGTCAGGATCTGTGGTGTTTTGGTGTGTTGAGGATGGAAATCTCTTCGCAATTCTACTCACTAAGCCTTAACCCTAAGTATGGATCTTTCATAAAAATTCTTATTTTGCACTTCCATATAGAGCTACATAAAGACACATCTTTTAGTAAATTTGTGACACAAAGATCTAAATGCGACACCAACCATCTATTGGCTTTTGCCTTCAGTTTTCATTACTTAAAAGTCCTTTATAATCTTCTCAAGGGGGAGCATTTCTCATGCTTCCAGACTTGTGTCTTCGTTAAATTTAGTTGATATATCTTTCGCTACATTTAAGTTAATGCAATATTGCAAATCCAGTTTTGCCATTCAATCTTTTAAGTTCCGTTACCCTTAAATCTGTGGGGTGTGATATTTATTAAGTTTAGAATGACTTTAGCAACCTCTTTAATTTGATATATTCACGTGTTTCTTATATTATTCTTTGACCGTATATTTGTGCTTTATACATCTTGATTTGATTAATCTTACTTGATGTCTTGGTACAGAGTAACCATGTTTCTCTGTGTTATCATGATGTCTAGCACATGCCTAAATTTTTGGCTCACTTTTTTTGCATTGGTAAGGTGTAAAGACTCAGCACCAACATACTAACAGCCAAGTGCTAACATTATATGTATCAATGCTTGTATGAGTTTGATTATGCATTTACGTAAAATGCCTGTTGAAATTCTATTTGGTAATGCTTACCATATCTGTTGGTAAGCCAATTCAATAGATGGAATTTATGAGGCATTTAAATTTGGAAAATTTAAATATCCTTGTGCTTTGGTTCTTGCAATTTGGATTACGGCTTAAACTTGTCTCTTATGTTGGATGGACCGTATACTCATTCCACATAATTCTTGAAATGCTCTATATATTGAGTTGTTTGCACATATGGACTCGCTATCCTTTGGGGTTATCTAGAATTTGTTCCATTTCATCTACTTATATCCATCAAATCTCTGAAAATGAGTTTGACTTGTCACTTGTCTAAAGTATGAGCTACAATTTATTTATCTGCCAGGTATTTGGAGGGTGAAAACTATCCTTAGAAATCCCCCTTCCAAACACCAATTCATGCACAAAGGTGTAGTTAAATTGGAAAGTTAAGCCAATGGATTTTTTTTCTTCCCTTTTCTTCTGGTTTTTTAGGAGAAAGTGCAAATAAAAGGTGGGTGAACTTATTGTAAGGTTTGATGTCATCGTCTCAACCATTACACAACTTCTATGCTGACTAACCTTTAGGAATCAATGCTTCCAAAGTCAGTTGTATCTTTAGTATGAAATCTTCTTATTTTGTCGCAATCAACCATAAATTGACTTCGATACTGCCTCTCCTTTGTGACACAATATGTATGAAGTTATTCGCCTTGTCAATCTGAAACCACTTGTCTTCAATTGCCGCCCCTGGCTGACTACGATTGGTAATTTATGTTTAATTCTCCCTTCCCTTGGGGTTTTCTCAGCTGTTACATATCTTTGTTACCTTTGTTTTGTAAAGAAGTTTCTATGTTTGTGTTTTGGGTTGATTGGGGGTGGTGGTCATTCATTTGAGTTACTGGGAAAGATAATTGAAATTCTATTTTTGCATTGCTTGGGTGTTGATGTTAAGTTCTATGCAGGATTTTAATCATTGATTGGGCGTTCATCGGTTGATTTGTAGTTTTTTACTTTCAGAATAACAACTTATTATGAATATTCCATGATTTCCATTCTTCGGTTCTTGTTTCTCATCAAACTCTTCAGCTATTTAGTTAGTACCGAAGACACAAAATGCCTGTTGCTGGTGTATATCTGCTCTTTTCTAGTTTGGCTTTGTCTATGCTGGAATATCCCCCCCCCCCTCCTTCTCTCTCTTCCAAAAAAAAAACTCCTCCCCCCTCCTTCATTTTCCTCACTTTTTTGTGTGTTGCATATGTAAAATCCTCAGTAACGTGGTCCATGGATGGATCTAGGAAAGAGTTTGGTGTAGTAAGAAATGGATTATTGCTGAGCATGTCTGTTGAATCCTGTATTGCATGCCTCGCCTGAGCCATTAGGTTTTCCTCATTGAACTCCGAGTTCTATTTTCGACTACCTGAAATATGTTTTTGGTGCTTATGGTGCATATTTATTTGATAGCCACTCATGTATGGTTGGTTTCGTTTTGCTTAGGATTGCTGATGCTGAAGAAAACTTGGGTGAAAGTGAAGTTCGAGAAGCTCATTTGGCTAAATCGTTGTTTTACATTCAGATTGGCGACAAGGTAGAAGAGACATAGGGATAGACCATTGTTCCATAGTCCTTCTGCATCATTTATATCCATTCGGTGAATGTTCTTCACACTATTTCCTAATGAACCCAGGAGAAGGCACTGGAACAACTCAAAGTAACTGAAAGTAAAACAGTTGCAGTTGGGCAAAAGATGGACTTGGTTTTCTATACGCTACAGCTTGGTTTCTTTTACCTGGATTTTGATCTCATTTCCAAAAGCATTGATAAGGCAAAGAAGTAAGTGTTGACATGATACCTTTTTTTTTTTGGGTGTGCTCTTCTTGTGGTGTTACTCTTGCTTGAGGTATTGCAGCCGAGGTTTTGATTCTTACTCTTTTATACATTGAACAGCTTATTTGAAGAAGGGGGTGATTGGGAAAGGAAAAATCGTTTGAAGGTGTATGAAGGCTTGTACTGCATGTCCACTCGTAACTTCAAGAAAGCAGCCGATCTTTTCCTTGATTCTATTTCAACTTTCACTACTTACGAGATTTTTCCTTATGACACATTCATATTTTACACTGTCCTTACAAGTATTATATCGTTGGATAGGGTTTCTCTGAAGCAAAAGGTATTGAGGTTCTTTCTTTTCGTCTAATTTTGTTCTATTTAGGTGCCATTCTTACTGTGGTTGCTATGTGTGTCAGGTAGTGGATGCTCCTGAGATATTAACAGTGATTGGAAAAATTCCATATCTGTCAGAGTTTTTGAACTCTTTATATGATTGTCAGTATAAATCCTTCTTCTCTGCTTTTGGTAAGCACATATGCTGTCAACCCCCTCCCTCTTATATGTTTGTTTCTACTATATTTGCATATGTACATGCTTGTGTGCATTACATTGTTGCATTTATTGCATGATAAAAATGCTTGGCAAAAAAAACTACGGTAAAGCCAGTTTATGTCCATTAATCAATGATTGACCGTTGGGAGAAAAAATATTTGTGAGGGGTTTAAATACAAAAAATTAATTGCATTTGATAGGTTCCCTCACGTCATCAGCATTTGATGGCTTCTTATTATGTGATGTATCGATTTGGCACTTCTTAAGTGAGCCTTATTAAGATACTGCTATTCGGGCGTAGTCTGACTTGTTTTACTTTGGCGGTTGTCTTTAAAGCTTTTTTAAGCATTAATATGTTTTTTTTGCTTTCCAAAGGATTCAAGACTGACATTAATGGCTGAAATAGTATAATTATGATGGATTTAGAATGCCATCCCCTTTCACCATTCCTCTCTCTTTCTCTCTACAGACCAACATCTCAGTGCCATCCCATCACCCCACCACTCATCTCTCTCCCCCTTACCATCACCCGCCAGAACTGCCACTTCTGAATTTATTAATTGGAAGTAGTGTATGCGAGTTGCTCATGGGACGCGCTCTTATGTCTGTGCTGGATTTTGGCAGTCATGTTTCATCTGATTTTATTCTTTTATAGTTTCCCTCAATTGAAACTTTGTCTGGATGACTTTCAGCTGGCCTCACAGAGCATATCAAATTAGACCGCTATTTGCATCCACACTTCCGTTATTACATGAGGGAGGTCAGAACTGTTGTCTACTCCCAGTTCTTGGAATCCTACAAGAGTGTCACCATTGAAGCAATGGCAAAAGCATTTGGGGTGACGGTGGATTTCATTGATTTGTAAGTTGTTTCTTTTGGTAAATATACGCATCATTGCTTGGCATTACACCAGACATGTGTTGGTATGAAGCCGGTACATGGGTTTGATCAAGTATTTCCATTGCCTACAGGGAGCTGTCGCGTTTTATTGCAGCAGGGAAGCTTCATTGCAAGATTGATAAAGTTGCTGGTGTATTAGAAACAAATCGCCCTGATGCAAAGAATGCTCTTTACCAAGCAACCATCAAACAAGGGGACTTCTTACTAAACCGGATTCAGAAGCTTTCTCGTGTTATTGATCTTTGAACTAGGCAAACATTTCACTTTTGTTTTTTAAGCATGATTGCTCAAGTTTGTGGCTGACTACATGTGTTGGTGCTTCTTAATGAAAGAGTAGAAGACTGATTTGAATTATTTTTCCCAATCGATAAAAAATTCAGATAATTTGGATTCTGGGGATCAATCTTTCTATTATTATACCCACTTTTGATGGGCGCTGTTTTATAGTGATTTGTGTATCGGAATATGACATGCTGCGAAAATAGGCTGCAATATTCTGAAACATTGTAATGGGATTCCAAAAACAGTGTCTTATGCTTTAAGAGGTAAACATGTTGCCCTTCGAATGCCTCTGTCTTTACTTTTTCCTGAGAAGCCATTAGGACTATAAAGGACAGGGGGCTGTACGGTGATGGCAGTATGATTTAGTGCCAACCATCAATATCCCAAAGATGCTTATATCAAGTCTTGTTCTTTCTAGTAGAAACCTCAAGCCATAAATTTCTCAGAAATCATTCCTCTTTTACTTTTTATTTTCCTTGACAAGGAATCATTTTGATCCATTAGAAAACACAGAAAGAACCTGAAAAACAATATATATGATAAGCAAAAAGTAGCAGTACTTTTGCCTAAACAGTTCATTAAGATCACAGGGAGAGCATGATAGTAAGAATTATCATTTCAAATGCTTGAAATCACACAAATAAAAGAAAGGAGCTTCTAATGGCAGCTGAAAGAGAAATCTCTGAACCTCTATAAGTGATTGTCCAAAAAAAAATCATTCCCTCAGCCACGGTGCTTGAACTGGTGTCCATTCACATAATTCACCTTCTTTGAACCAGAGAGCTGCAGTGGCAAAGAAAGTAAATAAACTAAAAGGCACATTACAATTAAAGAAAAATAAGTGCGTAAACTTGCGCATTTGAAGAGGCTTTGTGAATATATGGATGATGTATTAAATAAATCCATCAGTTAAGCATCAACAATATCTCCAGCCTTCCTCCCATTTATTAGCAGAAAGACAAATCAAGTAATCTATCCAACCCTATTGCACCTCTTTGAAGCCAAATACATGTATGGATGAATAGATGATTATAGGATCATCAACATTCTGATTATAGCTTCCATTGAGAGTTGATGGAGAGAAATATAACCTATACACGAGAGCTTCCATAAAGATTTCACACAAAGCATTGGGGTACTAATACATATAACTAGACACAAATGAAGCGGCTTAGTTTTCTAATATAATTTCAAGAAGTTGAGAGATTAGATATAAGTAAAACAAGGTGTTAGTTTGGTTATGAATGAAAAGCATCATGGAAACTGTTCATTTTCAGTATTGAAACAAGACTAAGGCTAAAGTTTGTATTTTGTCAATCATAGACAACACATATATTTGCATGCATGCACATACACATGGATACTTTCAACATTTGTCGGGATCACACTTGCCCTCTCTAAAGTACACCCCCAGCCAACCACAATAACCACAAATGTGCACACACAAATCCAGCTGTACACAAATGCATACTACACTTGCATCAGGAAGCTCGCAATTCATATGAATTATCAATATTGATATTCCAACTGAATTTCGTGACATATGAATTATGAATATGCAAGACAACAATGAGACCTAACACTTATAGTTGGCAATTGTTTCATCTTTTTCATCGCACAATTTTCTATCTTTTCATTAGAACAGGTTGAACAAGATCCAATTATTCATGAATATTCCCAATTATCCTCGACCAAAGGGAGGGGGCAAGCCATGCATGACTGGAGCTGGTGTTAAGATAGCAGAGATGGTCCAGTAGTAATGACAATAACAGTTGTCATATGGTGGCAGAAAGTGCTGGCATTGATTGGTTTTGACAAAAAGATACAGCCAAGAGAAAGTGTCATAGTTATCTTCTTATTTTTATTTGGTAACAGAGAAGATTCCAAACAATGCACCCTTACAATGAAAACCTTGTATGCGTGCAATCACCTGGGAACTACATGCCTCCGGTAGGTCAGGACGCTCTTGTGACAGTCAAACTAAGGACCCCGAGGTGGTAACCCTGATGTCTTCCCACTGAAGCTACCAGACAGGCTTAGTTATCCTCTTATTAGGACTCCACTATTTACCCCTACATATACTCAGATGCAAAGCCTAACTGGAAACTTATTGCACAAGCTTCAATATTTGCAGTTTTACTACTCAAAAAATCAACGAAGATGTTACAGTTCCTAAATATTCGAAACTGCCACACAATAAAGGGAGGAATGCATGCAATGCATGTATTCAGTGTTGTGTTGGTATTAAGGTAGTTGAGCTGCTCTGGTGGGAATCGCATAGAATAGGGATCGTGAGGTGGCAGTGGTGGCCGAAGTTGCGTCATCGATGGTGTTTAAGCATAGGATAAAACCTTAGGGATGTCCATACAAAGTGTCTCCCAGAGCCAAAAAGACAAATCTAGCTCAAGGGTATTAAAAGAGAATTTGGTGAAAGTGGGCTATTGGAATTGATTATTTAAAGCAATTCATGAACAAAAACATGTTTCTTTTTCCAATAATAGTATGCAAGCATTTTTCTCCAACTCCGTCCTTATTCATATGCTTATTTTATTGGCTTGATGGCTGGATATGCACCTATAGGAAGTCATACCCCCTGGCTCCTTGAATTCTGATGAAGACAGGCCTCAATTGCCTTTCTCTGGTATTAAACAAGTGGTGAGCCCAATACTAGGTATGATGCAAGGATGTGATTTCTTGATAAAGGGCTGTCTATGTAGGTAATGAAGCAAAGGATTGGTGTAAAAATGTTTAGGGTTGGTAGTTTAGGATTTGGAAAATAAGAATAGTGTTTTGATGGCGGTTCTGCCACTGTTTCTGGACAGTGAGCAGTTGTTCAGAGGATGTAAAGTTTTTTGGAGTTGATTTGTAAGCCAAAGGTCATGGTGATGAGTTCAAGGTTGATTTGGCTAGATAAGTTTTGATATGAAGAGAGATTTTGTTCACGGCCTAGGGCCTACGGAAGTAACCTGTCAGAAACTCATAATTCTCACTCCATTAAAACAGAGTGCAACATCACATAGACACAAGGGAATAAAATTGGGGGACCAAGAAGAACTATTGGCCAAGTTAGAGTATTATTCTTGGACTTTTCTCCAAGTTAGGCTTTCTAGTCGTGGGCAGTACATTTTTCTGTTAACTCATCAAATTGGCCTGGGAATACATAAATTTCCCATGAACAAAATTCCAACATATCAGCTAAACCCAACAACAAAATCAACCAAATGCACCAAGTCACCTAAAAATAAATAAAACATAAGGATAATACTACTATCACATTAACCTATAACAGTCATAAAATCAGACTTAATTTCATCGTACACAACATTAGAGATGGCCTTAAATGCAGTCCGTGTGAAGTTCCAGAATTGCATTCTTTCTTCTACTTGCGGTCTGCGAGGACATATTACCATCTTGGCTATCATGCATCTTCCGCTCTATCCTTGTCAATTTTTTGGAAATCATTATCTTACATTTGGACCAAACTATGCCATTCCTCTAGGCATCCTGAATAGTTGGATAACATTGGCTGAATACATCTCAACTTTTGGAGTCAAATGTATCCTTCCTAAGATTTAGGTATATCATCACAATTAAAGGGCATAAATGACTTCAGACTTATACCGGTCATTCATGTATTAACTAAGTAAGCAGTAGGCTTGCCTGACCATGCAAGAAAGAATTTATTTAAAATACAATCCTCCGATATGCAACCTATGACGTTCAATTATGTAATGTTTAAAATTGAATTGAAGCTCAAACAAAAGAGGGAACCAGTATGAGAATATGATATCATTCTAAACAGAAAGATTTGGGGCCACATTCTACTGAATCTGTGTTAGTAGAGAAACAACAGCTTTTACCTATTTCACGCGTGCCATTCTCGGGGCTATCACTCCCATGAACCACATTCCTGCCCGAGAATATCAGTGTAAGACATCGTGAATCTATAATTTACTTGATATCAAGCATACACATTTTATTCTTCAAGATTCATTACAAGTCATACTTATATTATATCACATATAAAATAATTAAACACAATGCCTATGAGGCCCAACCTTCCAGTTTGAACAGCAAGATCTCCCCTGATTGTGCCTGGTTCAGCTTGAAGAGGGTTTGTCACCCCAATTAACTTACGAGCTGATGCAACCACACCGACGCCCTCCCAAGCCTTGACACCATGAAATTACCATCAATGTTTTCGCTAGACTGCAGGCTTTAATCTTATGAAAATGCATCAAGCAAACACAAAAGGAAGGAGAATTATACCATACACACTACAGGCCCGGATGTAATGTAATCAATAAGTTTAGGAAAGAATGGCTTTGACTTGAGATCCTTATAGTGCTCCTACAACCATTATGAAAACAACATAATCCACATTAGTTGGGACATTTCAAACAGGCCACAATGAATAATAAAATCACAAAGAGGAGGCCAATCAATATAATACTCATGCCCTAATTACCTTGGCCCTACCCATTACACAGTTATTAATTTTGATCATCCAACACAAATATACTTATTCTGCCAGACTCAATTAAAACTTGCAATAAACTTATGAGAAATGCCATGTAAAAGGTAAACTAGACATAGAAAATACTGAAATGGGGTTTCTTTATTAATGAAAAATAATGTGATCACAAGCACAAGCTTACAACTCACAAACCTCAGCCAAATCTTTGGGGCACTGGAAAAGCTTCAAGCCAGATAGCTTAAACCCCTTCTTCTCAAACCTAGAAATTATTTCTCCAACCTATAACAAATCAAAAACCCTCAACACAGAACCAAAACTTAAAAATGATACCTATATACCTGAATCAGAATTTCATTTCAGCAATAAATTCTCAAACTCAAAGAGTTAGCAGATTAAATTAAAGCTTACCAGGCTACGTTGAACACCATCCGGTTTAATCATAATGTAAGTCTCTTCCACTTCTTCCTGGAGACAAAATTAAGAAATGAGTAGTAAATTCAACTGGGTTCTCTGTAATTCTGCAAAGAAATTGGATACATGTAAATAATATAAGTGTTTCTGTGTATAGAATGTAGGGAGAGAAACAGACCATAGAAGCAATCAAGTGGGGAAGGAATATGTGGGGTTTGTGGTGTTTCTTGAGGGCATGAGGACGGGACGGGGAATATGCGAAAAGATGGGATGGTGATTGGAATGCTGCTAGGCGGCGGCGGCGGGTGGTGCATGAGATAAGCTTGTGGGAGGCGGTGTATGATAAACTGCCATGTTTTTTTGCTGGTGAGTGAAGAGAAGACAGTGATGAGTAAACACAAGACCTTCCAAACACTGCTTGAGCCTCCATTCTCTCCACCCTCTCCCTCACTCTCTCTCTCTCTCTCTCTCTCTCGCCCACAGGCACACAAGATAGCACGCGTGTAAAGTCAAATTTTTTACATACAGCCTAGCCTGTTTATTTATTTATTTAACTTCTTATTTTTTTTGGTTTTTTTTTCAATAATAATACTAATGTTATTTTTTTTAATGAGCACAAGACGATAAATATATATTTTGAACATATTTTACTTAATTACCGAGTCGGTTGTCTAGTAATAAATCGTATTCGTTTAAGTTCGTTTTTAACTCTCACGTAGTTATCAAGGTTTGATCCATAAGAATAACGTGATTTATTGTTAAATTTTGATAATATTGAGGTGACGAATTACTTTTTTTGTTTAGTAATTATGATTCAAATCGAATATTTTACGGTAAGGGTACCTCATAATCATGCCCAGAAGTTATTATATTTTACTTAATATTATATTATAATCACGAGAGATTTTAATTTTCTTACACGCACCGTCTTTTTTGAAAAAAAAAATTTTGAACTTATTATTTTTGCCCATTTTCAATGATGATAATTTTACTTGATAATGAAGGATTTGTATTACTTTCTAAAAATATGAATAAATTTTAATTTAACCTATTGACCCAATCTGATGAATTTATTTCGCCACTTGGATTCATAATAGACCAAATTCAATATTGAGACCTATGTTAACCCAACGGATATGAGTGATCAAGTCTATAAATTAAATGTAACTAATAATGATAAATTATGTATGAGTATGAGCTCTGCTGCTTGGAGGATGAACTCCATGGCTAGGAAAAGACCTCACCTTCTTCCTCACCAGCATCCCAACTCGAATTCACCTTAACTCCGCACATCTTGACTAATTCAAACTAGTGGAGATATCTACACTAAGAGACGCTACATTTGTTCCACTTCTGGTGTTACCGCTCTATTCAAATAAGCAGTTAAGGATCTTCAACAGTTCAATCTCTTGACCTATAAAAGGCTAAGCTAAACATCATTTAAGTAAGTTGACTTCTTCCAACTACATATAATTTCTTTAAATCTCATTTTTGACTTTATTATCGGAGGGTTGACTACCGAAGTCCCTCTGGTCCTCTACTTTTCTTACAGGAATCCTCCCGCTGGTTACCAAGTCACAATTCTAGCCATCTACTATGGTGAACAATTTTTGAGATCAACACAAACTATTATTATTCACGTAGAAAATCAAACTATGAGTATCCCTGCTCAACTGTCCATCTTTCTCACTTGACTAGCACACCAATTAAAAATATTAAATTATGAAAAATAATTAATAAACCTTGATAAACTTTTGTACTAATATACTCTCACCCTATGGCATTGATAAGCCACATCCAAACAACTTTGATTAGCTATCCATTTTTGGCTTATGCATGCATAATGTAATGGTCAATACACAATGTGTTAAAGAAGAGAATCAACCAAGAACTTGGTATTAACAATCAATGAGTTATTACATATTAGTTTTGACAGGTAAGCTTGAAAAAGAAAGGGAGAGGGTGGCTGCTTGGTTGATCAAACTTTAGTAATGCTATTTCTTAATGTTTTGGGACAGGTATATTTTTATTCTTTCCTTATCTATCACATATAGGGATAGAATAAAATTTTATTTGTGCTCATATGTGTAGATGACCTTGTTATAAGGAAACTAAACGCTCAGCAAAATCGGTTACCCGTTGAAGAGAAAAATAGGTAGTTGAATAGAGTTAAAAAATTCCGTGTGTGTACTTTTGTGCACAGTCGATTCTAAGCGCAGAAAAATAAAGAGGGTTGCATGAAATAACTAACAACGGACATAAAACTCGTCAGTGCAAACATGAAGATGAATCAAAAAAATATGTTTAACTAAAAGCATTGCCTTGAAAACATTAGGACAAGGTTGAGTTGAGTTAAATTGAGTTTAATAGAATTAAAAAAGAGATGAACAATTATTTGGAAAAAAAGTTGAGGATAATATTGACATTTCATAAATAGATAGTTATTTGGAAAGAAATAATGGATATTGCAAATAGTTTACAGCATCTCCAATCTTTACTTTTTTTTAAATTCAAATTTAAATTTGGATAAAAGAAACTCCTAAAAACCTTTTCCAATCCTATATCCAAATCCATATCAAATCAAGGGAGACTCATTTTTTAATTCAAATCAAGGGATATTCAAATTTATACCCAAATCTTAATCTCACCATTTTCTATAGATATAATGGTCATATTTTATTTTCTTTTAAATTTGGATTTATCTTCCTTTAAATTTGCGTTTCTCTATTAGAAAGGTTTATACCAAATTAAGTTTTTTACCCTTTTATTTTTAATCAAATTTGGGTGAAGGTTTGAGTTTGGAGATGATATTAGAAGATGACACCAAACCCACTTTCTTCCCCTTTATTAAGAACATAGATACTTACCATGAAGTAATATGCTTTGAAAACAATTTTTTCACAATGAAAGTTCATACAGGGTTGTTTTTTCCACTCAAACTATAATAATATATGACCAATTTCCTCTGTGAATTTGGGAAAAAATTAGACGAATTTTCTGTGTTACTAAAATTTTGTGGTCTAATGTATATATAAAAAAAAAAAAAAGTTGAAGGAAAAAAGAAATGTAGAAATGCTACAAAGACTAAATTTTGGGACGAAAAATATGGTCAGAATGACGTGACAAACTCATATAACCAATGAGGTATTATTGAGCCTCCTCATTTGTCAACGTTGAGAGACTCTTAGTTCATTTGGGCCACTAAATTTGATCAGAGTAGCGGTGTTGAGAAAAAAAATGTTGTAATAGGCTTAAATTTTGATTGAGTATATATACTTGTATGACATAGGAACCTGCAAATTAATTTCTAATTGTTTGTCATTTGTAGACAAAATAACATGATTACAAGGTTTTTTTTTTTTTTTTTTTTGAGTAGTATACATTTTCCAACATGAAAATTTCATCCGGGGGGCTAAATATATATGAAACACAAATCTAAATTTTTCAGAAGATTCTTCTGAGAAACTTATTAACTGATTGGCTTTGTCTGAATCAGTATGCTGGCATATCTTATGAGAACAGTATTTGTAGAATCTGGAATAGATTTAGGTTTGGTGAATTTGATTAAATAACATATAGAAGATGATGGAAATATTCATATCAAGGATCCAAATTTTATTTCGGTTTCAGACAGGATGAATTTTTTTTTTTTTGAAAAGATAAAAAATATCAAAACACATCGAAACACATCAAAACATAAGAATTTTGATTTATAATCACTAATTTGTTTCAAAACAAAGAAAACATAAACGTTTCGAACGTTTCTAAAACGAAATTTAGTTCTTTGATCTATGTGCTTGTTTAAAGTTGGGTATCTTCTCATTTGCTATAACTTTGTAAATTACTTCATGAATTAATCAAAATATATTTTGAAACTACTGAAACGATACAAGTCGTATCCAGAATGGTACTTGACCCGTGGTTGCCTCGGACACGTGTTCTACAACTTGCCCGAGTCGTTTGAGACATCGTTATTGAACTGTAGTGTATCGCTGTTTACTGTTCCTCAATACTGTGACACTATCCGATTTTTTTATTATGTCAATATTCTTCCACTTAGTCTTTCGGGTGTATTGCCAGATACGATTCTTAGTAACATCGAGATCGGTGGACTAGTGGCAAGATAGCACCGGTAAGGGTAGTCTTGGTAATGACCATCCATGTTCGATTCACGTGGAGTAGACTGCAGAGTTGCATCTAGCAGCTAGTCAAGCTCTCTAGTTTTCCTTAGAAGAGCCTACTATCTAGGTCCCTCTAGAGAACTATCCAGTGGATTTGAGGTGCTATGGTCACATCCAGACAGGGTTTCCACGCTGATCATCCCCTCGTAACCCTTTTTCACCAGCAAAAACAAAAACAAAAACAAAAAAAAAATGATACGGCTCCTAGTGTCATCCTAATCAATGGCCTGACCTGAAACCATGTTTCACAATACCTTCCTCAATCAAACTTCAACACAAGGAAGGATGAATGAAAGAATATAGAAAACAGTACTACTGATATATATCATGTGGAACTTAGATAGAAAAGAGGCAGAGGCAAAAACTGCTTTAAAGAACAATCTGCTACCCTGAGAATTACCTATTACAAACTTAAAAGGAGTATTAATTGAAGAAAAAAGAGAAATGAGCTTAGTTCTAGCTAAGAAAGAATTGAACAAATGTTAAAATCTGTACACAGACACCCATCCTACATGCACACAAAACCACCAATACTAGTTTATTTCATCTGTTCACCACCTGAACTGTTCACACTCAAATTCAGGTTTCCTTATTTTCCCTCCAAAATCAGTGTCTGATCTCACTGAAATTGGGTGCTGCATGACCTTATTGCAGCATATGCTTCTTGTCCTATTGAAGTTACATTGCTAAACTCCCAAGTTCTCCAAAACCGGGAACATTTTGTTATATATTTTTTTGTTTTTTTTTAAAAGACAAGGAACCACTCTAGGACGAGAAAAGTCTTATTATAGGTGAGATTTTGTCCAATCCCACTATAGTATTTGGATTTTGCAAATTGGGGATTTGCTGAAATTCAACATTTCCAGCAAGAGACTGCAACAATGGGCTTTGATTTCCACCCAAGCACCAAGCAACCTTTCTCTTCCACAATGGTGTAGCCTTCACAAGCATTGATCTTTGTCAACCACTGTTTGGCCTGAGAAAGGATCTTAATAGGTGCAGCCTGAAACCCGGCTCTGCTCATCCTCCTCCTCCACTGGTCCACTCTCTCATGCCTCTCGACTCGGGCTGGACCCTCACAGCTCACAATGTTCTTGATCTCCTCTGCAAAGTAAAACTGCTCCATCTTGGCACGCCTCGTGTCGTATTTGGGCAGCATGGCATCAAGGGAGTCAAAAATTGCAGAGTAATAATGCAGTGCTTCCATGAATCTGCCAAGAAAAAATGGGCCATTAAGGCTTGAGTCCTGTTCAACAAGAACCAGAACTTTGGGTGATAGCTCATGAATTATCCGAAGAACTGAGTTTAAAGCACCCCTACTTTCTTTCACCACACAATGCAGCTGAAGGATGCTATTCACCACAAGGACTTCACCATCATGGACTTCGATGTCTTCAGGCCTAAGGTTTTCCAAGTTGCTTTCGACGGCTGAAAATTCCAAATTTATTCCTAGGCTATCTGCATAAGCCTCGAGCCCATCACCAATGATTTGGAAACGTTCCACGCCAAGGCCAACCCCTGTTATTCTAAGACAAGGGGGTTGGCCAGCACGATTGGCGAGGTTCTGAAGGAGCCTACGCCATTGGTGACCATGTGATAGACCAAGGGTCATCCCCAGGTCCACCACATGGACAAAATTCTCTCCCTCAAAGGCTTCCAATATTGCTGAATTGGCCACAAAGTGACCAAACTGAATATGTGGGCAAATATCATAAACAAGGCGCAAAGCTTCCTCTTTTTTTTCCGAGGCAGTGTCCATTATGTTCATTGAGGGTGCAATAAAACCAACTGTCCCTAGTGGCTGGACCAGGGCCAACCGGTCAGCCAGACCCTGAACAAAGCACGAAGCAACCCGCTGAAAAGAAGAGCCAAAGACAAGAGTATTGTCTCTAAGTTCAGACAACAAAGCTGAGGCATGGGACTTGTCGCGACAAGCCACTGCTTCAGCACAAGAGATGAGAAGCTGGACCAGCCTCACCCCGTCCCTACCGCCATCTTCCTCTGTTCTTTCCTCGGAGGAGCCAATGATGGCCGCTGCAGCCTCCTCCATCGCCTCAGCAGCTAGGTACCTTTGAGTATAATTCCATATATGATCGCGAAAATGGAGCTTTGGCCGGTTATTCAGGCTAGTAGTACTACTATTTCGGGCAATGCTGCCATCGATCGAGTCAATAGTAATGCTGCTTCCACCACTGTAATTGAAGCCAATATTGCTGCCAATGGATTCAGCAATGCTTGTGGTTCTTTTCAGCCTCTTATGATTTCCAGTTTCATGTTTGGACAATGTTGGGAACCAAGTAGCATCATCAGTGTTCTCCAAAATGGGTAAATAAGGATAAGGGTATGAAGCTAAGGCGTTAAGACTTAGTTCTAGACCACTCACATTAATTCTTTTTTCATCATTATAGCATTCATGGGACAACCACATACCAGGGGCCATATCACAACTCTCTCTATCTCTCTCTCCCCTTCTATTCAGTAAGGCTCTGAAAGAACCCTATACAAATCGAGTGTGATATATATAGCCCACGATGCCTTTTTTTTCTTGTTCGATAATACCTATAATTTTTTTTTAAAGTTGCCTCCTCCAAAGAGGTACACTAATGCTTTGCATAGACCAATCGAAGCAAAAGGCTAGGCGTTCCTTTGGAGTTTTATTACCGTCCTTAGCCATCTTCGAGGCTAGATGGTGACTATTGAATTATATGAGGAACCTTAAAGAAAAATATGCCATTTTAGCCACGTTTTTCTGTCCTTTTTTTTAAAGATCCTAACAGTAACAAAGGGGAAGAAACAAAAAATGGGGTTTAATAACACAAATGGTGGTGTCCCCTTGTTTAATAACACAAAAGGTGGTTTGTTTTACTGCTTACTAGAGATAGAATTTAGGGTATATAGAAAGGGAAACTATGATTTTTTTTTTGAACTAATACTTACAGAAAATTTCTGCTAGTATGTTATACTTGATCTATAATTTTTTTTTTTTTTGATATATTTTAGCAGTTTGAAAATGGAATTTCTTTGTTTCCCTATTTCCAAAATGTGAGTGTGTGACTTCAATAAAGTTTCTACTAGTATGTTATGCTCGATCTATAAACTTTTTTTTTTGGATACATTTGAACACAAAATTTCTTTGTTTCTGCATTTCCAGAATGTGAGTGCGTGACTTCAATATGATCAAAGTTTCATACGTTTATCATAAAGTCTTAGGTCAATTATGTGATTGAGTCTCGACAATAATCTTCAATATCATTTGGAATTTAATCCACAATAAAATATTTCACCACTATATCTGGTTATTGTAACGAAAATTTATTTTTTATTATTGAACATTTACTTTTCGTCAATATATATCGCGAACATATAAAGTTTTCTTATCTTATAATTTTACATTATTTCAATATTTTTACAATTAATGATTACAAATTAATAACCCGAATGTCTATAGTTTTAGATCAGGTTTGATATGATACCCATATTTTTTTGTGGGGAACTAGAGAGTTATCCTATCACCACCTAGCAAGCTTCACACATATTTTCCAGAGATTTAACCATGTTAAGTAGGACTAAGTATATGAAGCTATCTTACTTTATTTGCTTTCTCCATATTACATTCTTTTTTAGGTGCCCAAATGTGGTTTCTATGTTCCCCACAGGTAATAATAATAATAATGTATTTGCTTGCTAGCTGCCTTTTTTTTTTTTTTTTTCGTTTTTTCCCAATTTGACATAAGCTTTCAAATAGAGTCAACAATTTTAGACATTATCTACGAGCACGATGAAAAGTTGATACGAAATTAAGTTTGGGTAGTAAATAGGTGAATTCGTTAAACTTGTTAAATAGATGAGTTGACACAAACTCTGCTAAACATGCCACTTAAAACCTTCTAAATACTATTTACACAAGTCACGAACACAACATGACATGAATACGACCATACACGATTATAAATGGGTTAAGTATTTGATCAAAAAAAAATTTGACCCGCCCTGACTCGACCAATTGTTAGCCCTACCATTAGATGTTGTTGGGCTTTGATATCACTGATAGAAATCAAGGATCAAAATTTGTTTTTGAAACATTAAAAATGTTTTCGTTTTTAAAAAGACTAAAACGAATCAGTAATGAAATCGAAAATTTAATATTTTGAGGTGGTTCATAATGTTTTGAGGTATTTTGTAATGTTTCAATACATTTGTAAAATTATTTCAGAATACTTTGGTATAATTCGACAAATATTTTAGAAAAATAATTCTTAATTTTTTTCATTCTCTTTTCGAAATGGGTCGAAACATTTTTGAAACACGTCAAAAAATTTCTATTTTTCAGGTGACTGAAATAATACATTAAAACGAAATTTTGATCCTCGGATAGTATTAGAACTGAACCAAAAACTTAAGTTCAAGCTCAAGCTCAAAATAATTTAATCCATTTTTTAAAAAAAAAAACAAATTTATTTTATTTCTTGCCAGATATGAGATTCTTTTCCTTTGGTCCACATAAGGATTTCAAAGGAATCATCCTTTTTAATAATGCATGAATGTGCCGGCTAACATAATAATTTAGAATAAATATAAGTAGGGTGCATTGATGATTTTCCTATGCCTATGTTATTTTATATATTTAATTTTAACGTTATATATATGTATTATATGTATCAACAAAAATAATTTTAGGCAGTTTCATTTTTTTGTGTTTGGAAATTAGTCTTTTATAGAAATTCTATTCGATATGATCCATCTGTTTGGTAACAAGAAAATAACTTTGGCGTATATTAATTTCTGTCAATCAGACCCAGTCAAATTCAATTGGCCAAAGCCATCGTACACAATCACTGGACAAGGAGCATAATTCTAGAGCAAATTCCATTTATTTTTTATTGAAACGGCCGAACTATTTTCATTTTCGTGAAAATTAAAATTAGTTAGTGATTAAATATCTAAAAATTACGGTGATTTGAAATGTTTCAAGATGTTTCAATGTGTTTCATTCGATGTTTCAAAATGTTTTAGGTGTTTCAAGATATTTCAGTGTGTTTCGATGTTTTAGAATGTTTTCAAAAAATAAATTTTTTTTATGTTTTTATTGTGTTTCAGATATTTTGGTGCATTTTGACTGATATTTCAAAATGTTTAAGGTGTTTTGAGATATTTAAGTGTATTTCAATGTTTTAGAATGTTTTCAAAAAATATATATATTTTTGGTGTGTTCCGACCGATATTTCAGAATGTTTTAGGTATTTCAAGAAGTTTCAATGTGTTTAGATGTTTTAGAATGTTTTCAAAATATATTTTTTTTTTTAATGTTTTTACTGTGTTTCTAGATATTTCAAAATGTTTTGGTGCGTTCCGACCGATATTTTGGAATGGTTTAAGTGTTTCAAGATGTTTCAGTGTGTTTCGATATTTTAGAATGTTTTGAAAATAGTTTTTTTGTATGTTTTTATTGTGTTTTCTAACCATTCGAATTTAATTTATCAAAACGAATTTTTGATCCTTAATCTTGAGGTGAGAAACTGAAATTGAATCAATTTCTACCTACACTACTGTTATTTTTTAGCTTTATTCTTCATTTATCAGCCTTTAACTTATTTTCCCATTTATCATGGTCCATGTGGAAATGCGAACTTATCATATTTTTATGAACATCACGGTAAATAAGAAAATAAGTTCAAAATTATGGTATTTTGATTACCATATTATACAATGGCAAGCCAATATGGCACAAGCTACCACGACCAACAAATTTGGCCAAAGCTAATTAACAAAAGACCCATCTTATTGGAATATTCTTTCAATAGATTTTCTCTTTAACGGATCATCTACATTACTGAGTGATAGAACTTGTATATTATGAATTCTACTTGAATACATGATAGATGATCCATAAAAAGAGAATTAAAGATAAAATGTATTGGACGAGATTTCACTCCATCTTATTGATAATGACTGCCTAATTTTCAAATATTGTGTTGCTCGCTAGGATTCGAAGTGGGATTCACTCCGGTTTATTCTTTCAAACTCTTTTTCCCATTTTCATCTCTTATTGCCTTTAACGTAACTTCTCGTAATAGAAGTCCATATTAGAAGATGGATTATATAAAGTGAACTTTCTATAATGGGCTCTTAAGAAAATGTTGACTGTTTGGTGAATATTTTTTTTTGAAAATGCTTATAAATTACGAAATGCAGTGTACTGGTTTTCAATCATCAACATTTCTAGTTTTATTGTACTAGTTTCCTTCGTGAGCAAAATAGTGAAAATATATTGCCACGTTGACGGAGAAGGCCGATGATAGATTCTAAAGTGTCATATCAAAATTTATTCAATTCATACTTGATTAATTTATAATCGTACACACCAAGTATGTTTCGTGTCGGATTCATTCTCTGTTACGTGGATTCTTATCGATTCATATATTTAGACATGTCTAATGAGTACACACTTTTACTACCTACACTTGCGAATTCCATTTTGATTTTGTGGCGGATTTATTGCAATTCCTACCGAAAGGCCCACGAGAATTTCACTGATTCCTTCATGTTCTTTGCATTTTCTAGCTTTGCTTCAAACTGCTTGGCAGGCTCTATTTCACTTTTTTTGGTCTTTCGTCTCAGGTAGATTCAACTAGACCCGTCTCTTGTGTCTTCAATTCCCTTTGTCCACAGAAATTAGGTACTATCTAAGGTTGGGCCGGGCCGGCCCAGCCCATATATGACGTTTTGAGTCACAACCCAACCCAAAAAATAATTGGATTTTTAAATTTTTAGCACAGACCAATTCACCATGATGCTTTATCGAACCACGGACTGAAAATTTCAGGGGTGAGATCAGCCCTTTTTCTGGAGTATGGATTTTATCACATTGGTATGTTTGTTTCGTTGTTATTGGGTGCCAATTATTTAAGTTTTTGAAAATAATCTCTCCAAATCCAGTGGTAAAATTCATTCAATTGACTCTCCTCTAACTCTATGGTAACGAGAATCTAATCCATCCGGCTGTTTTTTTAGCACAAAAATAGATATATAGATAGATCACTCTACATATCCGTCAAGAAGTATTACTTTTTAACACTACAGAGCTATTTAAAAGAGACTCTACCGCACCTATACCGGCGTCAGAACTAAAGTCTTATTATTACGTGTTACCTGAAGAGTAGGTTTAACCTCATTAAATTGCCGTAAATTTAAAAAATTCAAAACCCAAACATTGATTAAAATAATTCGAATTTCAGTGGTAATTCCCTGGGCTATCCATTCCCCCCCCCCCCCCCCCCCCCCCAATTTTCCCCTCCTTCTTCCTATCACTCATTCTCAGGTCTCTGTCCCTCCCTCTCTTTATTTTGTTTTTGGCCTTTTCTCCTAGAGCAACGCAAAGGAATCAACTCTGACATTGCATCTACAGCATCAGTTACAAAATGGCACCGAAGCATCATTCAT